TATGAGGCTAACTATCTTGAAGAATTGGTTGATGTGATGGAAGAGCAACTTGAGAATTTTTTAGAGAAGTTAGAAAGGTTGAAAATTGATGCGGAGACACCTTTGTACGAGGGTTGTAATGAGATAACTCTATTGTCCACTGTGTTAGAATTATACAATTTGAAAGCAACAAGTGGTGGAGTGATACAAGTTTTTCAAGCATGCTCTCTCTAATCAAACTAATGCTACCGAAGAATAACAAGCTTTCGGGTCGGCTATATAATGTAAAGGTGTTACGCATAGTTGGCTTGAGCTATAAAAAGACACATGCTTGCCTTAACGATTGCATTTTGTTTAGAAATGAACATGAAGAGCTAGCCCACTGTCCTAAGTGTGAAACATCACGTTATAAGCAAAATAGGAAAAGTCCAGAGAAGGCAATATGGTATTTTTCTATTATTCCAAAATTTAGGCATTTGTATAGCATACGTCAAGAGGCAAAGAATTTAACATGGCATGCAAATGGAAGGATTAAAGATGACAAGATTCAGCATCCATCTTATTCTCCTAGATGGATAAGGTTTCATCGAAAGTACTCTTAGTTTGGAAAAGAAGATAGAACTCATGTCTCGCATTATCTACTGATGGGATGAACCCGCATGGGATACAAAGTAGTACTTATAGTACATGCCCTATGATGATGGTCATTTATAACCTTCTTTCGTGGCTTTGCATGAAGCAAAAATATATGATGTTATCCTTGCTAATATCAGGGCCCAAGCAACCCGAGAATGATATAAATGTTTACTTAGAACCATTGATTAAAGACTTGAGATTGTGGTGGGAGACAAGTGTGGAGGTATATGATGCCTACAGAAAAGAAATATTCAATTTAAGAGCTATGCTTTTTGGTACAATCAACAACTTTCTGACGTATAATAATCTATCAGGCTATAGCATTAAAGGACAACTTGGATGTCCTATTTATGAAGAAAGAACATGTTCAATGAGATTGCAGCATGGTATGAAAAATGTGTACCTTAGGTATCATAGATGGTTGGTGACAAATATCGATATCATCAATGAAAAAAGTCTTTTGATGGAAAAATAAAAGAACAGAGACCACCAAAGCAATTGACTAATGAAGAATTGTTTCAAAAGATAAAAGACCTTGATATTGAATTTGGCAAACCATTTGTGAAGCATGTTGAAACAAGCGGGTGGAAGAAAAGATCAGTTTTGTGATCAATCTAACTTTAGAGAAGGTGTGGTACCTTGATCCTCTTCCTAGTGGTCATCCCTCTAACAGATCGCATATTGTGGAAATAATTAACCAATAAATTGATTAATTTTTTGTGTATATGTATGTAATTTGTTCTTTTTATATGAATATTTCTCATGTCAAGTTTTCTATTTCACGTTAGGGCCATTGTCATATACTGCATTAATGTTTATCAACAATTTCGACAACTAGTAAAGGGCAACGGTCACTTTGATACAGTAGCATCATGGACAGTTGTCAAGGTATATGTATTTATCATTAATTATGTTAGCAATGTCACTGTATAGGTCATGTCATATTATTAATTAACTATTTGATTTTTTTATCTATTGTATGATAGTAGTGGCCACAGCAAGCAGACAAAGTCAGGGATTGTCGGTACGCTGTCATGAAATTCATGAAGGACATAATCCAACATGCTCTAACTGAAATTCTTCCTAATAATGTAATATATATTGTCTTCTTATTCATTAATATTATATTTGTTTTTATCAATAAACATGATTTTAATTTGTTAATTTTGCATATAGTACTATGAGGACGCATACTGTGACACATATACTCATGCTCAAATGAAAGAAGTCCTTGAAGAGTTAGCACATAGTATTTTTAAAGCATGGTTTAGTTTTAATAGCCAGCAGCAAAGGTAGTTAGGAAACTTAGGAAAACTTTGGGATTTTGGGCTTTATGTTTTAGCCACTAATTGGTTTAATTTAAGCACTTCAAGTTGTATATAAGTTTTTTATAAAAATTCATTGTACATTTATGTATATATGTGACTATTATTGGCTAGAATTTGTGTCTGAGTGTTGGAATATCATTTTGAAATTTACAATGCAGAGGGATTGCTAGAAATATAGTTTGCCCATTGCAAAAAATTAGGTCATAACATTCAACGGTTATGAGAAAAACCATTAAATATGATGACTAATAATATAATAAAAACTATTCAACGGTTGTGTCACAAAATCGCTAAATAATTATATATATTCAACGGTTATAAGTGAATAACTGTTGGATAATAACAAACTATTCAACAATTTTTAGTCCAAAATCATTGAATATTATCTTTCATAATTTCTCATTTCCAAAATGCAAAAATTTAACGATTAAAAATAAAGGATTTTAGAATATTCAGCGTCAGATTACTTAATAGTTCATAACCATTAAATAGGAAAAAAAATAACCATTTTATATCCCTTTTTTATACTCACACTACTCATAAATTACACACACACACACATATTAATAAACAGTATGACTGATAATCTAACGTTTTCACATTGTATTTCCTTGTGCGGTATCCTTTAACCTTTTTCAAGGAACAGTAATCTGCTTTTCCTAATCTTACTAAAAATAGTTTAAATTATATAAATTATTTGATTTATTATTAAAAACATATATATTTTCTTTTTTGCAATTCAAATTTTAATCTTCTCATGTTTAAATTATCATTATATATATAGACATAATAAATAAAGAGTGTGACTAACAGTCTAACGTTTTCAAATTGTATTTCCTTGTGTGGTCATCCTTTAACTTTTTTCAAGGAATAGTAATTTGATTTTCCTAATCTTTCCAAAGATAGTTTAAATTATATAGATTATTTGATTTATTATTAAAAACATATTTATTTTTATTTTTTATATAAATCATATTTTAATCTTCTCATGTTTAAATGATCATTATATATAAAATATAAAACATTCTCTTCACTCACACGACTCATAAAATATATATGTATGCATGTATACAAATGAAGAGTATGACTGATAATCTAACGTTTTCAAATTGTATTTCCTTCTGTGGCCATCCTTTAACTTTTTTCAAGGAATAGTAATGTGCTTGTCCTATTCTTACCAAAAATAGTTTAAATTATATAAATTATTTGATTTATTATTAAAAACATATATATATATATATATATATTTCTTTTTTATAAATCATATTTTAATCTTCTCATGTTCAAATTGTCATTATATATAAAATATGAAAAATTCAGTTAACTCACACTACTCATAAATTATATATACACACACACATATAAAGACTATGACTCATAATCCAACTTTTTCAAATTTCATTTCCTTGTGTGGCCTTCTTTTAATTTTTTTCAAGGAATACTAATTTGTTTTTCCTAATCTTGTTACCAAAAATAGTTTAAATTATACAAATCATTTTTACTATTGAAAACAAAATATTTTTTATTTTAAATATTCTCACGTTTAAATTATCATAATTTATAAATATAAAATTCTATTCACTCCCACCCACTCATAAATCCTATTCAAATGGAGGCATCGCTTATACAAACAACTCATGTCAATCAAATAATTATAAATTGGAATTAAAATAAACGAAGAGATTTTCAAACCAATAGGTTCCAAATTCATCTGCATTTAATAGTGCTTTTATTTAAAAAGAGTATAACTGATGAGACGTTTAAATAAAATAATATGTGATAAATGTCATCGTAGTGATGAGGTGTGACGAGTTGCATTAGAAATTCCATCTTCAGCGGTGGTTGCGGGCAGAAATAAACAAAAGGCCTGCAATAATCGAGCTTCTTAATTTGTTATTAATTCTTTTTGGCCAAATTCTAAATTTGTTATTCGATGCGTTAAAAATTGACCATAGGACACGGCGTTTAAGGTATAATAAAATAATACAATTATTGTGTGCAAGGTCTGACTTTGTTATTGGTTTTAGCCTATAATATGAACAAGAGAAGCAAAGTTGTATAATGAAACCATATATTAAAGGGAAAATTACAATTACAGACCCTGTAAAAATATTAATGATAATTATAGATCATAAATAACTGGAATCTCATTAAGGACCAAGGTCCTTTCTTGCAATTAAAAATAAAACATATAGTCTAAAATATCATTTAAAAATAAATTAAATTAGATGTGTAAATTAATGCTTCTATCGTGTGCTCCGTTCGAACGTCGTTGCTCCTTTTAATATTTATTCTTGTTTTTATTACTTTACTTGCACTGCTGTTTCCGTTTGGTTAAGTATTGAAGGTGAATGGAGTAACTTTGAAGTAATCAGGAGAAGAATTTTTGCGCATAAAAACTAAGACTTGGATCACTATTTGCTCATGAGTCATAACAGAGACAGATCCAGGGGTGAGGAGAGGCTTCGTGCCCCCAATAAATTTAAATATTCCTTTGGCAAAAATTAGAAGTTTTGCTTGTAAAGATTTATAAAATAGACTTTGGTCCACTCATTCCATGTTTCATTTTCAATTTGGCCCCTCATCAATTAGTTTCTAGACCTGTGTTTGGCTCATAAAGATAATTTATTAAAGGAAGAATATCAATGAAAGACCTTAAAGGAAAATCACAAGGACTACTCAAGAAAATTGTTCACATATAAAAACTAACAATAAGTCACATTTGAGAAAAACAAATCATGTTTCAAATATGGAAGATTTGAATTCTAAAATAGTTAATGAGGACTTGAACAAATAAAATACTTGTCAAAACAAAAAACTTCACTAATTAATTTGTAGTGTTTACTTGTTTGAAGCTTTTTTATGAAATTAAATTATTTACAGTGTCTTTTACTGATATTCTCCCTTTGTTTTTAATTGTAAGCAAGAACCATGACGCTTAATAGGATTTCAATTATGGAAGATCCGAAATAGTTAATGGTTATTAATATCTTTTCGTACGTCTCCAATTGTCATTTCCCCTATATTAAAAAGTATATATATAAGCATGTGTAGTGAGTGAGCCGAGAAGCAGATCCGAGGCGCAGAGAGAGAGAGATGGAAACATCATTGAAGGAAGAAAATAACAATCTCAAAGAGCGAAAGGCATCGTGGGCAAAGCTCCGTCGTGTAGACTCTCTCAATTTGGAAGCCGGAAGAGTTTCCGACTCCCAAAGCCACCTCTCTAAGGTACTGAAATTCATCGATCAACTCTTCGTCTTAATTTCAATTTCAGTCATCTCTAAGCTTTGATCGAATCTTAATTAATTTCACCTTTCTGTTTACAGTTGACTTGGAGAGTCACTCTGAGTTTAGCATTTCAAAGCTTAGGGATTGTCTATGGCGATATCGGTACGTCTCCACTTTACGTGTACGCCAGTACTTTCACCGACGGTATCAAAAACATCGACGACATTCTCGGCGTCTTGTCTCTCATCATCTACACTCTCGTCCTCATACCAATGCTCAAGTATGTTTTTATCGTCTTATGGGCCAACGACAATGGAAACGGTAAGATTTCTCGACCGGGTCTCTAATATGTCTCTCTCTGATATTCCATATTCCGATTTTCTTTTTGAATTTTCTTTTATAGGCGGAGCGTTTGCGCTCTATTCGTTGATATGTCGGCATGTGAAGGTGAGTCTTATTCCGAATCAACAACCAGAGGACAGGGAGATATCAAATTACCGGCTGGAAGAACCGTCGAGCCGGTTTAAACGAGCCGAGAAGATCAAAAACAAGATAGAGAATAGTAAATCTGTGAGGATTTTGCTTGTGCTTGTAACCATTATGGGAACTTCCATGGTGATCGGAGACGGCGTTCTTACACCATCCATCTCAGGTTCTTCAATTTCATCAGTTTCTTTTTGATGGCCAAGGAGATATTTAATTTGACCAGTTTAAATGCGTTATAATAATATTATAAATTACTTTTTGCTTTTTTGGTTTCATATATACCTGTCTCCATGATGTGAGAGTTTCTCGTGACATCCACAGTTATTTAGTTTTTTAAATATATATATATATATATATATATTTAATTACGTCACCCATTTTAAGGAGCTTGGTTTCCTGCTATTGTTTCATCAAAATCTCAGACTGAATATAAAGTCTTCCATTTTGAACAAAATTTTTCTTTTTTTTTAAATGAAAATAAAGGTATAGTCTATTATATGTGTCTTTCTACCAAAATAGCTGTAACCTATTATTATAAATTCTAATAATGCCTAATATTTTTGAGTACCCGAAATTATTAAAATTTGCTCAATTGCTGATTGCTTGTTGACTACTTTGACATAAACGCACGCAGTTCTTTCGGCGGTAAGCGGGATCAGTAAATCCTTGGGTCAAGGTACTCACAAATTTATGAATGTTTGGACATAATTATGAATAAATTCGAAATTAGATAATCGTAATTAATTGGATTTTTTTTTTTTGGTTAAACTCTATTTTCAGGCGCTGTTGTGGGAATTTCGATAGCGATCTTAGTGGTGCTTTTCTCAGTACAACGATTTGGGACAGATAAAGTGGGATTTTCATTCGCCCCAATTATCATCGTGTGGTTTTCATTTATAGGAGGAATCGGTCTTTACAATTTATTCAAACATGACGTTGGGGTATTACGTGCTTTCAATCCAAAATATATTGTTGATTATTTCAAGAGGAATGGTAAGCATGGATGGATTTCACTTGGAGGAGTCTTCTTATGCATCACAGGTGCTTTATTATATATTATTCTCACTTAGCTTGTATTGTGTCATTCTTTAATTCTCTAATTAATGGATGATTAGTTAATTAGTTTTACGTCCCCACCACAATATCAGGATCTGAAGCCATGTTCGCTGACTTGGGTCACTTTAGCGTACGATCAATTCAAGTAAGTTCATCATGTTTCTAATTTACAATACTTGCTTATTCCACTTCACAAACTTATCTTATTAAATATAATATTAATATGGTCAATATATCATTATCTTAGCATTAATTAGTTTGTCATGAACGTACATCCTGACTGTTTGCCTCTTGAGGCTCTGTTTGGGTTCTGTGTTGGCTCAAGGATTCTCTACTGCTATGAATGTCGTCTGCCAATCCTTTGCCAAGCAACAAATAAATTGTCGAGCATGATAACTTATTAAACTTTTGAAAATTATATTTATATATATATGTCTGTATGTATGTATGTATGTATGTATGTATTAAGTTTATCATTCTATTAAAATAGCTTAAGCCAATTTTATAGGACTTGTCTTAATGTTATACAGCTTCAATTCATTATTTAATTAATTAATGTGGGATTTTTTAATATCTTTTAATACTTTTCTATTTTTTTTTTCCTTCATCTTTCCTTCATTTATTTTTTTTTTCCTTCCCTTTGCCTGGGCTTTGTACCTTTTTTTTTTAAATCTCAAAGGTCTTAGGTCCACATTTTCCCCTTTTTGTTTTTTATCCTCTTCCCTTATTATATTACGGTTGTCTTCTTATCAGAAATTGCTTAAGCCAATTTGATAAGACTTGCCTTATAGTCTTATATAACTTTCAATTTATTTTTAATTAATCAACATGAAACCTTTGAATTAATATAACTTATCTTGCAGATTAGCTTCACTTGCGTTACATTTCCTGCATTGCTAGCTGCATATAGCGGGCAAGCAGCATATCTACGAAAATTCCCAGAGAACGTAGCCGATACATTCTATGATAGCATACCAGGTAAGTTGATCATTATGCGCACACACAGAGACACACACACACACACACAACGCATATTTATAGAGAGGGAGAGGGAGAGAGAGAGGGAGAGAATTTTGGATGATCCGTATAACATTTGGTCTCTCAATTGTGAATACATGCAGATCCATTATATTGGCCAACCTTTGTGATAGCTATAGCTGCTGCCATCATAGCAAGCCAAGCAATGATATCTGGAGCATTTTCCATTTTGTCACAGGCCCTAAATCTAGGTTGTTTCCCTAGGGTTAAGGTTGTTCATACTTCTGTCAAGCACAGGGGTCAGGTGTATATTCCTGAGATCAACTACATGTTCATGCTTGCATGCATTGTGATCTGTGCTGCCTTTAGGACCACAGAAAATATCAGTCATGCATACGGTAATTATGGCACTTCTTTTTCACTTTTGTTGATCTGGTATTATAAATGAGTCTCATATCACACAAGATAACTCACTTGCATCTAAAGGCTACTATTTTGGAAATAGCCTCTCTCTTTAAATTTATACTCATAACTTTAGTGTTTTCATTGAGATTACGAGCCTCACGTCATAGGATTTAAAAGTTTAAAAGACTCTTTCACCCAAAAGCTAGTCTTTTAAAATGAACTTTCTCTTTAGACTTGTAATCATAGCATTAGTGCTTTTATTGAGATTATGAGTCCTATATTGTGGGGTTTATAAGTTCAAAATATGCTCTTACCCCAAAGGCTAGTGTTTTGGAACTAGCTTTTTCTTTAAATTTGTACTCATAATATTATTGTTTTCATTGAGAGCTGACCTCATGAAGAGGACCTCCTAGCTATGGAGGGTTTTGACTGGCAAGTAGGCTAGAGATGTCCACTCTTAAACAGAGTAACATTGTTATGAGTTTTATATTGTGATGAACTTTATAAGTTTGATGATCTCTCACCTAAAAGCTAATCTTTTAAGACATGCTCTCTATTTGAATTCATAACAATTAGCTAGTCTGATTTGATTGAATTCTTTTAACTCAGCAGTAAGCATGTGCATGCAGGGATTGCTGTGGTTTGTGACATGATGATCACAACAAGCCTGGTTACACTTATAATGCTAATTATATGGAAGGCAAGCCTGTGGTGGGTTGTTCTCTTCTTTTTGGTATTTGGTTGCTCAGAGGCACTGTATCTTTCAGCACAATTAACCAAGTTCCCACAAGGAGGCTTTCTTCCACTTGTATCTGCTATCTTCTTGACCATGATGATGGGCACATGGCATTATGTGCACAAAGAAAGATACAATTTTGAGCTCGAACACAAGATTTCCACAGAGCATCTGAATGACTTGATCAGCAATTCCAATATAAATCGTGTGCCTGGAATTGGACTTCTGTATTCTGAACTGGTTCAGGGCATTCCTCCAATATTCCCTCACTTTGTTGCCAACGTACCATCAATCCACTCCGTGGTAGTGTTTGTTTCTATCAAGTCCATTCCTATTAGCAGAGTTGTACTGGAGGAGAGATTCCTGTTTCGCCAGGTAATGTTAGAGTTTTATATTAATCATAGATATGGGATTATCATATATTTAATATTTTTCTCATTATTTTTTTGTTTTCTTTTCTTTTTATTCAATATCAATGTCAATCTTTTTTTTTTTTCCTGTCTTTTTTTGAAGTCCCAAATCATCCGTGCTCTAATATATCATATTAGAGTTTTATCTTAGTCACAAATTAAGATTGTCACTTAAAATAACTTAAGTTACTTTGGAAGGGTTCACTGCACATTTATATAATTGTGATTAATTCTTTAACCAAAATAGCTTAAACTTCTTTAGAAGGACTCATTAATTACCCCACATTTATATAGTTCTCGATCTTGAGCTATCATGTGTCTAATATTTCCTTTACTAATTTTTTTATTTTCTTTTATCTTCAATATCAAAGTCAATTTGTTCTCCCTTTTTTAAGTTCCATATAGGCCCGCCTCTAATAACATATTAGAATTTTACATTAATCATAAGCTAAGACTCGTTACTTACACCAAAATAGCTTAAATTACTTTGAAAGTGCTTATCACACATTTGTATATTCACTTAGCTCGATGTGGGACAATCATTCATCTAATAGGTGGGACCAAGAGAGCACCGAATGTTCCGGTGTGTTGTGAGGTATGGTTACAACGATCGGCTTGAAGAGCCAGAGGAGTTTGAGGCGCAACTAGTACAACACTTGGAGGCATTTATTCGTGAAGAAGATCTTATGGCGATCCACGAAGAGACTCAAGGAGGCACAGAGCAAGTCAGCGCTTTGGGGAACGAGACCTGATCAGTGATAATGGTGAGGTGACGAGAGGGAAGAGCTCTAGGTCCCACAGAATAGCACCGGAGCAAAATAATGGAATATCACGTGCCTCATCAGATTCTGGTCGTGCCATCACCCACGAGCAGGTTGATGTTGATGATGAGATCAAGTTTGTAGAGAAAGCAAGAGAAAAAGGGGTGGTTTACTTGTTGGGAGAAGCTGAGGTTGTGGCTAAGCCTAATTCATCCTTCATCAATAAGATCGTTGTCAATTATATCTACAACTTCTTGAGATACAACTTCAGACAAGGGGTCAAACACATGGCTGTTCCACGTGGAAGGCTTCTCAAGGTCGGAATGACATATGAAATATGACACACCTCAGTTCACAAATCAATCCACCTGTGTTTTCCTGATATGTCAATTATGTACCATGTGTTTTCCTCATCACTTTTGGATTTTCACCATCTATAATATATATATATATATATGTATGTATGTATGTAAGTGTGTGATATTTTTATTCATAAGTTAGTGCACGTTTGGTATCAGAAAAAATGTGTTCTCTAAGGGAAAAAGAGAAATGTAAGTAGAAAGAAAATGAGATGGGTACAGTTTTCATTTTTTTTTTTTTTATAAAGAATCATTTTTCACGTACCAAACAATACATTATAGGATTGATCTACCTTAATTATCTATGTATGTAATGGAAGAAATAATACTTTCGTCATCTATATATGTAACTAAATGTGATGCCCTATGTTAATTAGACATGCTTGTGGGCTGCTTAATTAGTATGGCTACTTTCCCATTATTCTGTGATTGCTTAGAGTCATATCTCAAAAAGTTTAATCAAATTATTAACTGATTGATAGATGGTGTTATTAATTGATAATTAAGCATAACCTATTTAGAATATTGTAAGATTAATAGGATAATATATATATAGTAATGATTGTCTTCTATAAAGCAAAGATAAGTGGCACATTATTCCTTGTTTCATATAACGCAATATCAGGCCTCCACCTATGTGGATGAACTGGATTTGCAGGCTAATTATTCATTGTTTATTTGAGTTTGAGTGAATTAAAAGGCAATATACTTTTTGAATATTATATAAGTACGATGCCAATCTGGTTTTTTTTTTTTTTTTTCTTTTTGCTTTTGTACTCGGTATCCTGAAACATTTGAATATGCTGGTCCAATCTAATCCAAACTAATCTGGATTTCCATTTAGATGAGGCCTTCTTTGAACAAAAACATTGCTTTTAGGTAACAAGAGCTTCTTTTTTTTTTTTTAGCTGAATTGGCCCAAGCCTTTTTACCCCTAACAAAGGGTTTTTTTTTGGTTTTGTTGATTGAACTTTGCGAATGGGTTGGTTTCTTGTAGCAGAATTGGTTTGGAAAGTTCTTACCCTAAAACACCCAATATATTTTTGCTAGTCTCTACTTCTAATCAGTGCCTATTTATACAATTTCATTGATTTGAAAGTTTGACTCCATATTGATGGGATTTTTTAAAATCAATACTACCGTTATCCTATATTTTATTTAACCTTTCTTACAAATTAGAATCCTGATGATAAAATATAAACCATACTTAAAAAATGAAACAAAAATATTTAATGAAATTGATATGATGAGCTCATTAATCAAGAAAATTAAAATAAAAATAATTAAAACATTATGGTACTAACTTGATCAGTGTGACTGGAAGCGAAATATTGGGAAAATGGGAAAATGAATATTGATTGTATAATATCTGTACAGCCAGCAATATATATACATGTATATGAGAATAACTAATGATACATAACTAATTCAGGTATTATACAACTAATTTCAATTATAACAGAATTAAGTTGGAGCTGACACCCCCCCCGCAAGCTAGAGCATGTATATTAATCATGCCCAGCTTGGAAATGAGCTCAAAAAAGGGCTTAGGATGAAGAGCCTTAGTATAAACATCTGCTGCAAGCTGATCTGAAGAACACACCAGAAAAAAGACGGATGATTTTTTCTTGAAGCTTCTCACGAACTAAGTGGCAATCAAGATCAATGTGTTTAGTACATTCGTGAAAAGTGGGATTGGCAGCAATCTGAAGAGCTGATTGGCTATCATAGTAAAGATAAGCAGGATCACAATGTGTGTGTTCAAGATCATGGAGAAGATACAATAACCATTGAAGCTCACACGTTGTAGTTGCAAGAGCACGATACTCAGCTTCACTAGAAGAACGGGACACTGTGGGCTATTTTTTAGATTTCCAAGAGATTAAAGAGGGACTCAGAAAGACACAAAAACCAGTAACTAAACGCCTGGTGTCTACACAGCCTGCCCAATCAGAATCGCTAAAAGCTTTCAACTTAAGATCAGATTTAGCAGGAAAAATAAACCAGCACCAAGACAAGACTTGATGTACTGAAGGACCCGATAGGCAGCTTGCATATGTATATCCCGAGGATCAGACAAGAATTGACTTAAATGGTGAGTTGCAAAGCTGAGATCGGGTCTGGTGGTGGTAATACTGAAAACGCCCAATCAATCTTCTATAGGATAAGGGGTTGGACAAAGGAGTGCCCATGTATTTAGACAACTTGAGATGAGGATCCATTGGTGTACTAGCAGGTTTGCAAGCAAGATAACCAGTATCTTCAAGTAATTCAAGAGCAAACTTGCGTTGAGAAAGAGAGATACCTTCCTTTGAACGAGCTAATTCCAACCCAAGAAAATATTTGAGTTCTCCAAGATCTTTAATAGTAAAAGCTTCATCTAAATGTGCCTTGATGAGATTAATTTCTGTCATGTCATTTCCAGCAAGCACCACATCATCCACATAAACAAGTATAGCAGTGAAAGAAGAACCAGTGGATTTAGTGAATAAAGAATGGTCAGAAGGAGACTGATTATACCTATAACAAAATAAGGCAGCAGAAAGCTTAAAATACCATTGTCTACTAGCCTGTTTAAGGCCATAAAGTGATTTTTCAAGCTTGCACACCATATTCGACTGAGGAGTAGAAAATCCAGGTGGGGGAATCATGTACACCTCTTCATGAAGATCACCATGAAGAAATGCATTGTTAACATCTAATTGGTGAAGAAACCAATTTTGAGCAGCAGCAAGAGAGAGAAGCAAACGCAGTGTAGTCATCTTAGCCACAGGGGAAAAAGTGTCAAAAAAATCAACTCCCTCAGTTTGAGTGTAACCCTTGGCTACTAGGCGAGCTTTGTGTTTATCAATAGTACCATCAGCTAAAAATTTGGTCTTAAAGACCCATTTGCATCCAATAGCTTTCTTACCAGGTGGCAAAGTAGTAAGGACCTAAGTATGGTTCTGTTCAAGTGCAGAAATTTCTGCAGCCATGGCATCCCTCCAAATGGAGTGTTTAATAGCTTGTTGGTAGGTTTTTGGATCAGTAACAGTAGAAAGGGACAGAATAAATGTTTGTAAGAAGAGGAAAGACGAGAGTAAGACAAAACAGAGGATAAAGGATAACGAGGAGTACCTTTGCTAGATGATTGGTCAGAGGATGATAAAAGGGCACAATGGTAATCATGCAGATAAGAAGGAAGGGTATGAGGTCTAGTGGAGCGGCGTAAAGGAGGAGCAACTGAAGAAGAGGGTGGAGTCAAAATAGTAAGAGGAGGAGGAGGAGGAGGGAGGAGGAGGGGGAAGAGAAAGAGGGGAGGAGTCATCATCAATAGATAAAGGAGGAAAAGACTGTATGCTGGGAATATTAGGAGAAGAAGGAGATAGAGGAGAAGAAACAGAGGAAGGGTGAAAAGGAAAAACAAGTTCATGGAATTGGACATCACGGGAAAGAAAGACATGACGAGTATGTAAATCAAGTAAAATAAAGGCTTTAGAACCAGAAGGATATCCTAGGAAAACACATTTACGGGCACGAGGAGCAAACTTAGATCGATGAGCAGTAATAGTAGTGGCAAAACAAAGAGAACCAAAGACCCTAAGATGAGAATAAGAAGATGGTTTTTGATAGAGTTTGTCAAAAGGAGTGCAATTATTAAGAATAGGAGATGGAAGAAGGTTTATAAGATAAGTGGCATGCATAATAGCAAAAGACCAGTAAACAATTGGAATATTGGATTGGAACATCAAAGCTCTAGAAACATTCAAAATATGTTGGTGTTTTCTTTCAACTAAACCATTTTGTTGAGGAGTTTCAATACAAGTAGTCTGATGAATTATTCCTTTTGAATCATAATATTGAGAAAAAGAGAATTCTAAGCCATTATCAGTTCTAATGATCTTAACAGAGCAAGAAAATTGTTTTTCAACCATGGTAAAAAAATTTTTAAAAGCTGGCGGGTGTCTGATTTAGAATGCATCAGAAAAACCCATGTGTAGCGAGAAAAATCATCAACTATGGTCAAAAAATAGCGATAACCTTGAATAGAAGGAACAGAAAAAAGACCCCAGATATCAACATGAATGAGTTCAAAATTTTATTACTTGAGCTTGTGCTAATAGGAAAAGAAAGACGTTTTTGCTTAGCAATATGACAAGTATCACAAAGTAAGGGGTGAGAAGTACAAGAAATTGATGGTATTTGCTTATGTAAAAGTAAGAGTAGAATGAGAAAGATGACCCAAACTTAAATGCCAAAGAGTATGATCTGAAGTTGGAAAGGAAGCAACAGCAGAAATCAAAGCAGTAGATGGAAGCTGAAAGTTGAATTGTGGCTTATCCGCAGTCAAAATATAAAGCCTTTCAAAAAGCTTAGCTGTACCAATCATCAGCAAAGGATGGAGTGAGAGAATCTGACAAGATTGAGAGAAAAAAGTGAGACAACAATGAAGTGAAATGGTCATTCGAGAAACAGAAATAATATTGAAAGAAAAATCAGGAAGATAAAGGACATTAATAAGGGTGATGGTGGAAGAGATTTTGACAGTACCGGAAATAGTGGCAATAGCATGAGATCCAGTAGGTAAACTAACTTTTTATGGAGAAATAGAATGATAAGAGGTAAACCAAGCTAAAGAACTACAAACATGGTCCGTCGCACCTGAATCAATGATCCAAGTGGTGTTAGGAGAACGAAGATTACCTGCAGGAGGTTGAGAAGCAGCCAACTAATTAACAGAGGAAGAAGACTAGGAATCTGGTTGGAGCAAAGAAAGAAGTCGTTGATATTGGTCAGCAGAAAGTTGAGGAAGAACAGTAACTGAGGAGGAAGATGAAGTCAATGGTGCAGTAGAAGTTTCTTGAGCAGACCAGAATCTTGAGTAGTCAAATTGTTCACCGCGGCAGAGGAGTTGTGAAATTTAAAGCCAGGAGGAAAACCATGTTTCCTATAACAATTTTCCTCGGTGTGACGAGGTTTGCCACAATAGGTACATATTTTTTGTTGAGTATAATTTCCTGAAGGCTTGAAACCAGAACGAGGAGGTCTTTTAGCCAATAAAATCTTGGAATTTGAAGCAAGAGAGAGTTCCCGTTCTTGTTGAAGAACAAGAGAAAAAACTCGATTAATAGAAGGTAAGGGATCAAGAAGCATAATTTGAGATTTGACTGAAGTAAACTGATCATTGAGTCCCTTGAGAAAACGAAGAACATAATCTTCATCCCTATAAGTGCGAGCACTATCAACAGAACCACAAGTACAACTCTTAATGGGTCGTAAATTGGTCAATTCATCCCAGAGAATTTTCAGTTGAGTAAAATATTCACTAATGCTTAGGTCACCTTGCTTCAAAGAGAAAATTTCTTCTTGAAGATCAGCAATTCGAAAAATATCAGACTGAGAGAAACGCGATTGAAGTTCGATCTAAATATCACGAGCATTGTCGAGCCACAAGATACTCTTAGCGATCGTCAGTGAGAGACTTTTGGTGAGCCAACCTTGAACAAGATTGTTACAGGTTCCTAAACAGGAAAAAGAGGATCAGTAGAAGCTAGTGGAGAAATAGATCCATCGATGAACTTGAGCTTGTTCTTTGAAAGCAAAGCCATGCGCATAGCGCGAGCCCAACAATGATAATTTGAACCATCTAACAGAGGAGACACCAGGACAAGGGATGGGTTCTCGTTAGGGTGAATGTAATATGGACTGGTCTGATTAGAAGGAGGAGCAAGTTGCTGTGGAGAGATTTCAGCCTTAGGTCGTCGAAGAAAGTTGAAGTCGGCCATGGGGTTTGATGAGATCAGAAGAAAAGACGAAAGAGAAAAAGAAGAAAGAGAAAAAGAAGAAAGTTGAAAAGCTAGGTAAGAGAAGATGGAAAAAGTAAGAAAGAGAATTAGTGTGCTCTAGATACCATGTGACTAGAAGCGAAATATTGGGAAAATGGGAAAATGAATATTATTGATTGTATAATATCTGTACAGCCAGCAATATATATACATGTACATGAGAATAACTAATGATACATAACTAATTCAGGTATTATACAACTAATTTTAATTATAACAGAATTAAGTTGGAGCTGACAATCAGGCCATGTTTATATTGGCTGTGAGGATTGAACCATTGATTGAGTGGTTATGGTGTCATTTTGTTTCCTAAACCAGTTCAAGTGGGTGACTACTAACTAATTAGATTAATGAGCTGTCGCTTTTGTTTCAGTCCCATTTTTTTAAATAGCATATATAGTGAAATTCAATAAACTCTCCTATGTGCTAAAATTACATTGAATTTTTTTTATTTTTAAAAAAGTTAAAATGTTAATTTGCCTCCTATTTTAATTTGCCTCTCAAGTCAAAGGCAGCGTAAAAAATGGAAACACCTTAATTCGACATTACTTGACAAAAAAATTATAAAAAATAATTTTTTAAAAAACTTAATCCTGATTAAGTCTCTTAAATTTAAATAAATTTTAATAAACTAATATTATTTGTTATCTATATAAAAGATTAAAATATTATTTTAGCTAACTACTTTGACCGCTATTAGATGGTTATCAGATCACCATTACTGGAAACAACACGGATGAGTAATTAAAAATATTAATTTTTTAAATAACATCTTATTAAAATATTAAAATTTAATAATTTAATAATTTACATATTTTTATTTTTTTATAGAGATTCACATATAATTTAGGGGCTTTAGCAAATTTAACCAATATTATATGGCTAAATAAAATTAATAACCTACCTTTTCCTAAATTAAGATAATGGTTATTTTCTAATTTACTTTTGATACACAAGACAAAACTACCTTTAAACATCATAATACCATGATTATCCTTTTTCACACTGGTTTTGCTTTTACCCATTTGAAGACGTGGAGACGACACTGTACTCTCAGTCATGACGGCAAAGAAACTGATAGTAAACAACGAAATAGCTCACACCGATGGATAAATAGAGTTAAAGATTCAGTTAGGAGACCACAAGAATGCGAGGCAAGGTAGACTGGAAGCTACAGATTTAGGTTGAAAAATCACAAATGCAAGGTGAGAAAATTCAAAAATGTAGCTTCTACATAAAGCCACACTAAAGTTGCAAATTCAGGGTAAGAAAGTCTAATTAGACTCTGTTACAAAAGTCAGAGTTCAAGTAAGGGTTTCTTGAGATTTTGTTTGATCTATTTTAAAAATGATTATGTGTTACAAAAGGTTAGAGAATTAAATATACACTTTAACTAATATTTTAACATACTTATTTCTTATTTTTAATTTTTAAAATTTAAAATCATTAATTTTCCCTTATAATCACATTCAGTGAACTATTGGTGGGTTGTTAAGAACAAATTAAGTCAAAAGTTCACGGAAAAGTTATACAGGCAAATATTGTTGCAAGTGAAAACAAAAAAATATAAGTAGTGATAATATATGGTATTATGTTTGTGTGTGTATATTTTATACTCTTTTCTATTTTTATTATAGAACACTTTCAATCATTTTATATATTTTAAGAAAAGTTACTCCCTCCGTCTTTATATATAAAGATATTTTTAATCGAATTACACAAATCAATAAAAGTTAGTTATATAATTAAAAGCACAATAACATTTCAATTTTGCCCCTAACTATTGTGAATAAAAAATAAATTTCTTTTTTTAAGGTAAATTAATGAGTGTACTTATATATTTTTTTCAATTTAATAAGGATATAATGATCTATTCATTAAAAAATATGCTAATAATATTTTATATTTAAGGACCAAAAAAGGTTTTAAAAGACTTCTTATATAGAGCTAGAAAAACGAGCGGGCTCGACCCTTAAAAGTCTGAGCTCTAAAGCCCGATTCCCTATTTTTAGTCTCATTTCTCAAGTCTGGCCCTTATATGAAGGGCTTAGGGTCAGGTACGCAAGCCCTATTTTAAAAAATAAAAAAATTAAAATAAATTAAGCATTATAAATTAATTAAAATATTTTAAAATTAAAAAAATTAAAATACTCATAATTTTTTAGAAATTAAATAACACACATTTAGAAGTCTAGTAATAAATTTAAATCCTGGTTAAAAAATTCATTTTTTATATATACAGAAATATAATAATTATAGAAAAATAAAAAATATTAAAAATTTATACTATACACTGATATTTATTAAATTATATTAAATTAATTTTAAAATAAATTAAAATTAATAATAATATAATATGTGTAGGATCAGGTAAACAGGTCATTAGTTTCAGACATGTGTTCCATAAAAAATAATAATAATATAACAGGGCTTAAAAGGCAGTCTGAGCTCGAGTCTTTTTTTTACAGGGTTTATCAAGATCAAGTTTTCAAATCTGATTACTTTTAAAAAAATTATTTTTAAAGTCCGAACCCTTATTTAAACAGGACCTCTAGGCCCGACCCTTATTCCTGGCTCTATTTTTATATATAAGGATAGAGAAAGTAGTTTTTTTCTTGATATCATAAAAAATTGAGATGTACTTTTATTTTTACCCTCAATTTTAAATTATAATATAATTACATTAAATACCTTCATTCTAATAAAAAGAGATAAAATTTAAAAAATAGTTTAAGTAATATAAAATATTTTATATTTTAAATTAAATATTATTTTTAAAAGTGTTTTGGTACTTTTTATCGGTGCTAATGCGAAGTTAAATTGTTTATTTAATCTTGTCTTCCATGACAAATTCTTTTATAATACTATAATAGAGTGTGTTGTATGATTTTAATAATGACATCTTCAGCTTTAATAATCATTGTAGTTTTCCAGGTGCGAGTGTGATGTACTGTAATCTTTTTCAATCAAAATTGCCATTTTTGTAAAATTGATTTCAAACTTTTATATAAAGGTAATTACTCCCTCCGGTCCTATTTATAAGTCATTTCTACCAACCTCATCAATACCAATACAATAAAAGTACAAGGATAAAAGTAAGTAAAATTTCAAACATGCCCCTATATAACAAATCTAAAAGTAATGTCCTGTTATTTTTTCTCTCTCATGAAGGGTAATTTTGGAAATACCTCTCAAATATTACCTAAAAAGACGCACCGTGACTTATAAATGGGACCAAATACACCTTCTAGAATTGGACTTATAAATGAGACCGGAGGGAGTATATTTTAGTAGCCTTTTTTTTTTTTTGGTCACGCTATCCTATGAAGTCATGGTTTGAAAGAATGGGTGTTAACAAGCGATGGTGGAATATTTGGGTTCTTGGTGGCCAATAGAGTTTGAAGGCTAGTGACAAGCATTCCTTTAATTTTCCCAAGGGACAGTGTCAACTATTTTCATTGATTAAAAAATATAGGACATTTCATATTTTCATGCAAGTTTACCAGATGCTATAGTAAAAAAATAAAAAAAATATCTAAATAATATATTTTTTTAAATATTTACCCAAATATTACAAATCTACACATTGGCATTTACCAAATTGAGTTTAAAAAAAAAATTCTGACACACAATTCGGTTGGTATCAAGCCAGGTTGTGCGTGAGACATTTTTTTTTTTGAAACATAATGTTATATAAAGTTAAAAAATTTAATGTATATTTCAGTCAATTAAAAAATAATTTATTTTTGTGCACTCAAATATCATATTTCGTTAATTTATATAAATTAAGATTTAAATAATTATTATTACTTTATCTTTAATATGTATGGGCAAAACAATTTCGTTGATTTTTATAAATTAAAATTTAAATAATAAAAAATAATAAATATTTTTATCTTTAATATATATGAGCAAAACAAATTTTTAATATAAAATAAATTGTTGATTAAAGATATTTTGCCCATGCAAATTAAAACAAAATTGTACTTTAATCTTTTTAATTTATAAAATATTAATTATAAATGAATGAAAAGATATTTTATAAAATTAAAAAATTAAAATAAAATTTGATATAAAATTAGAGATTAAAAATATACTTTAATCTTTTTAATTTATATATCTTATTTTTATCTTTTAAATATTAAAATATTTCATGCATTTAAATCTAGTTAATTATGTATTAATTATATCCATATCTCATTATATATATATATATATATATATTACTTATAATGTTTGTATATATAATGATGGAAGAGGATTGGGTGGGAGGAAAAATGAAAAAAAAAAAGAAAGAAAAGAAAATTGTACAAGGCTTGGGTGAAGGAAAGGTAGACTAATAGGCCATGTTTGGTATGTAGGTTTCAATTTGGAGGGATTGAGATTGGGATTGGGATTGGGATTGAGATTGGGATTGGGATTGGGAATAAAGTTTTAAAATTATGTTTGGTATGTAGGAATATTTTGAAGGAATACCTTATTTCATTTTATTTTTTACTTAAATATAAATTATAAAAAGACAAAGATACCCTTAAAAATAATAAAAACAGAAAATAAAAACCAAACGTGATCATATTCATCCCTTTGTCTCGTCATTTCTTCTTCTCACCGATGAACTTCTGCGACGGTGAACTCGAGAGATCTCCGGCTTCCATTTTCGATCGTCGAGCTCCATATTGTGAAGGGTTTCGTTCGCGCCATTCTGATTTCTCTCAGCTCCATCAACTCATATAAGCGCCTTTAAGCCGAAAATGAAGAGCCAAGGAGAGCGTGTCAGGTATGCTTTGAAGCCTTCGGACTCTGCCTTTGATTTACTTCGGACTCTGCCGTTGAGCGGGGAGATGAGCGAGGGGCCCACCTTGGAATCTGAGGTGTCGGTGAAGCTCAGGTACCAGGGCTTGAGGGAGTCGAAGTGATGGGAGACGGTGAAGGAGAAGCGAGAGGAGGAGCAGGAGCCAATCTTGGCCGTCGACTTGAGGGGTCGAATCGGAGGGAGGAGCAGGCTCTCGGGTAAGCCGCCATGTCGTTGAAGTCCAGCGATTCCTCAAAGTCTAAGGACGATACTACCATTGTCGCAGTCGATAACTCCACAAATGCCCGCACTCCCTGCAGCCAATCTTCATGCTCACTTGGTTGGTTGATGTATTTGCAGGTGAAACCTGGTCTTCCTTATTTGGATATCATAAGGTTGCTGAGGGATAATTCTCCTTTGCCAATTGCAGCTTATCAGGTTCTTCTCTGGCTCATTCTATATCTGAATAAGAAATTTTTGATGAAAAGATTGATCGGATATTTAATTAACTTGGACTAATGCTGTAGTAAGCTGCCTAAAGGTGACTAAAATCTTCTTTTGGTCTCACTATGGTGTGCTACTGATAGTCTTTCTTTTTTGTTTTCTTGAATGGGTTGGGATAAAATGCCTGCTTGATACCTGAAAAGTGAAAACATATTTACGTTCTACTATTTATCTTGTGTGCATAGGTTTATTTATGTGAATTCATAATTTGCACTGCCTATGTTTCTAAGATTGTACTAAGTCGCTGAGTACAATAAGTAGGTCAGAATCAATGTGATTTGATGGATATTGTTGAGGTGGAATATGAGAGCACAGTTTTAAACGCAGAGTCTCAACGCTGCCATTTATCTTTCGCTGCCAATTAATTTCTGTAGTCTCGTGAAACTAAGTAAAAGGATTGAGGGGGAGCATTGTTTATTTATTTAAGAATGTAAAACTTGAAGCTGACTTTAGGATCGATTGAGAAGCACACAAGTGGTGATTGTACTATCTTCCAAGCCGTTAGACTTCCTTTTCTGATTTAGCATATTGCGTGAGGTGCAACTTTATATAGGCTTTTAGACATTTGTAATTATATATAGCTCAAAGTTGAGTATTGAAAGGGAAAAAAAACTCACTTATATTAAATATCTTTAGAAATTCAGCACTATTTATCAGGTAGTGCTGAATCTCTGGCCCTTTAATTGTGCTATGTGCTTATGGTTCCTTTTATAGTTCTTATATGGCGAGAAGGCTTAGTAGAGTAAGGAACAGAACATATATTGCCACTTTGGCTCCTCATTTTACTGTTCTCAAACTTTGATTTGGTTGGTTTGAATTCACAAGTTGTCCATCAATGCCAATGCTTGAAATTGAAGTGCCTCAAAGATGTTTGGTGAAATGTCTGACCCAAGAGATGTGATATATCATTACAGTCTTTTACTGCATATATACGAGGTACTTCGTAGTTAATGCCCCATAACCCTGTCATGCTTTCCCCTCTCTCTTCGCTGTTTCGTTTCTAATTATAATAATATATCAGCACCAATTAATTCCTTTTGCCTCTGTCTCTCCCTCTCCCTCTAGTCCATTTACAAGTATATAATCCTCTGTGGGTCTTTCTCTTCTTCTCTGCCCTTCATTTCTTCCATGTTTTTGAGCTTAAACTTGCTTCAATGAGATTGATATTTTTGGTGTGTCTTTTGGTCTTGCCTAGATCTTAGGTCCAACAACACAGTATCTGCAAGGAAGAAGACATTCCTTGTCTCTGATTTGATTGAGGGCAAAAAGAAGAGCTCAAGTGAGCATGAAGATGAAAATGTCAACAGGTGTGCAACTCCAAGAGGTGCCGTTTTAGCCATTCATCTTGTAGCGTAATGACTAGAGACTCATCCCTACTGGTTCAAATCCATTACACAACAGGTAGAATAATAGACAAAGACCCATCTTCCTTGTAGCGTAATGACTAGGATCCTGTGTTAGTGCTCTAAAGATTATGTGTCCAGTATCAGTTGACTTCTTCAGAGATTTTTTGCTTCACTTCATTACTCATGCTTCAAACATGAAATATATTTTATCCTCATTTAAGATTGCATGATATAATTCAAGCATGTTTAGGGTGACAGAATTAGAACAAACTGGTACAAAAAATCTACAAAGAAGTCAATTGGGTCTGAGTCATATTCACTATATACTCAGAGACCAAAAGGGAATTTTAGTCGACCAAAGTGGACAGTACAGTATGATCTTCATATTTGTTTCAGGAAGTTGTATTACTTTGCTGTTATATATCAATGTAAATTCTGGAAGAAACTAGCGTGTATTACATTCTTCTTCTAGAGTTGAAAAGACCCCGTAAAAGAAAAATGTGATGGAATATATTTCATAAATATTCACAACAGTTTAAAATCACGATACTCCATATGGTTTAAAATCACAGGATTTTTCATAACAGGATTTCTGCAAATAAACATACAAGATGGAAGCTCGCATTCACTTATATGGTTTAAAATCACAGGAGACACTGAAGAAGAGAAAATATTAAGCAGACTTTTATGGAAAAGAGAAGCGAACTGTGGTTGGAAATGCAGGAAATAAGGAGTGAACCTTCAATTGCTCGGCGAGGCATTCTGTTATAGGAAATGAAGCCTTCAGCAGGTTCATCAACTATCCGTGTCATAGTCATCACAGCCGAAGATGAAGCATTCTCAGTGCATTTCCCTTTCTATTTCAAGAGGGGCACTTGGGGGCGAACAGAAACATCCAAAAAAATCCATCAAGAAGCAAGCTTGTGTTCTGTGGCTAAATTAAATGAGGTGTATGTATATATATAATATAGCATTTAGATTTATTTATGAAGTCTGTAGCTATATGGCTCCAATCTAGTGGTTATATCTCTGATTTGTGGAATTTGCAAGTGTTATATCACAAGTTTTTGTAAATTTTGCAAGTGGTTATAACAGCCATGGATCTTTAAATGTAAGTCTGAACTTGAAGCTATAGTTTCTTTATTTTCCAAGTTTTATGCTGCATCAGTCTCTTCGTCCACCTCATAATTAACATTCAAAAATGAAAATTTCAGTATTGTTATAAAATAAAATCAAATTTTGCAATATTTTGATCAAAACTTCCCCCCTAATTGATAGAATTCCTGATCAAATTCTTTCATTTGATGGCATTTTCATATGGGCAAGGAACCAAGTTGCAACTTTATGATCAAATTAAGCTAGTGTATATATACTTGTATATATACTACTATTATATAAACTTCCAATAGATGCTCTATAAAACATGAAACAAAGGATGTCATTTATCATATCATAATTAATAAGGTCAAGGAAGCAAGATACTCTATATCTTACTTTGAAACAAAATATAGTCAATGGTGCTACTCATATATCCAAGCACCCAAGTAAGATATGCCATATCTTACACAAAAAATTAGACATCTAAACATGACATTACATATAAAGGATCCTCTTGCAACTTTACTAAGGATCACCAAAAAATCGAGATACACCAAAATATCAAGTGACACTAATACTAGCTTATGCTATTATTTCGCGAATCACATCAGCTTTATCCTCTTCAGGCATGGAATAAAAGCCAATTAGCATATTCTCATCACCAATAATCTTCACATATGCCTTGAGACGTTCTTGGTGGGAAAGTCCTTCAACCTTCTTCAACTCAACAAGGAGAGACGACCTCATGCCATCAATACGTTTCTCACGTTCAACTCTATCAAGGTGCATGCCAAAACGCTCAGATGACTCCTTCAACCCATCAGCTAGTGTTTGAACAATCATTTTCATGCCTTCAAGCATGGAAGGTTGAGCTTCAGTGCTGTTTCGCTTCCTCTTTTTCGCTCCGGAAGTTGCATCAGAAGGGGACAGCTCAGTTGGAGAGTTCTCTTGTGGTGAAGTATTGGCATGTGATCCATCCATTTGAGAATCAGTTGGAATGTGCTCAGTAGGAGTATCTTCTACGGGTGAAGTAAACCCATGTTGATCATGAAACTCTTCAACGATATCTTCATACGTTTGAGCATCCTTTCCATTTGCCCTATCCTTCCCAAAGATATTAGATAGCTCATCATAATGGGGGAAAGTCTTGTTTCTCCATTTAGCAGCTTTCTTGTTTACCTGCGACAGAAAAAAACAAATAAACTGCAGAAAGAAACAGCAGAAACTAACAGCCAAAAAACCAGAAAAAATAAATAAATAGCAGAAGTTGAAACAGCAAAAACTGACAGCAAAAAAAACTAGAAAGAACAAATAAGCAGCAGAAACTAACAGCCAAAAAACCAGAAAAAACAAATAAACAGCAGAAATTGAAACAGCAGAAACTGACAGCAAAAAAAACCAGAAAGAACAAATAAGCAGCAGAAAGAAACAGCAGAAACTAACAGCCAAAAAACCAGAAAAAACAAATAAACAGCAGAAATTGAAACAGCAGAAACTGACAGCAAAAAAAACCAGAAAGAACAAATAAGCAGCAGAAAGAAATAGCAGAAACTAACAGCCAAAAAACCAGAAAAAACAAATAAACAGCAGAAATTGAAACAGCAGAAACTGACAGCAAAAAAAACCAGAAAGAACAAATAAGCAGCAGAAAGAAACAGCAGAAACTAACAGCCAAAAAACCAGAAAAAATAAATAAACAGCAAAAATTGAAACAGCAGAAACTGACAGCAAAAAAAACCAGAAAGAACAAATAAGCAGCAGAAAGAAACAGCAGAAACTAACAGCCAAAAAACAGAAAAAACAAATTTACCTTCACATATTCATCCCAAACAGTCTTGGGAGCTGTCACACATTTCTTTTCAGGGTCCCAACCAAAACCAGATAAATTAAGAAGGTCAGAAACCACACCATAGTTAATTTTTAACTTCTTAACTCTTGACTGAATATGGGGATGGGCTTTAATACCACTTCCAGGTATCAAACCATCAAGCATGTCCTTCAAAGTGTTTAAGACACGTGGCCTTAAACCATTGTCAGATACAAGTTCTCCCTTATCATGTAGCACCATCATGGATTGAATTAATAATTCATCCTCTTCGGGTGTCCACATGTGCTTGTCTGATTTTCCAGACCTACTTGACATGTTTGTTCAGCTAGAAGAAGAAAATGTTAGAACTTGAGAAGAGGTTAAATAACAATAAGACAATATGACAATATATTATTATTAAGGACATAACAATAATACATGTTCTATCATACCATACACCACACTCAAAGAAACAAAGAAAATTAACATATTCAAACAAACAATAATGTTTAAATGAAATAACTAATTCATCTAGATATCCTATTAGAAGAAAAAGTGGTGAACATTTCATTAGCAAGAGTATCCCTAAAGGTAGCCCATTCATCAGAAGCATCCATGTTTTGAATTGGGGTGTTTTCCATCCCGTCCATATCAACACCCATTTCTGGAACTTCATTTTCAAGTGGATCTACACCTTCTTGACGAATTAAGTTGTGTAGGAGGCAACAAGCAATTATAACTCGGTTATGTGTTCGAATGGGATAAAAAGATGCGCTTCTTAGTATAGCCCACCTTAATTTCAAAATACCAAAACACCGCTCAATTACATTTCGTGCAGAAGAGTGTCTCATATTAAAGCACTCTTGTGCACTTCTAGGATGTCGCCCTTCTCTCCATTCACTTAAGTGGTATCTTTGCCCTCTATACGGTGCAAGAAATCCCTTACAGTTGGTGTACCCAGCATCAACCAAGTAATAGTGACCTTGTGGAACCCTCAAGCCATTCCTTCTACTTATGGCATCACGAAGAACCCGTCCATCTGCTGCGGACCCTTCCCACCCAGGCAAAACATATATAAAGAAACCATCTTGTGAGCAAACACCCAACACATTTGTAGTTATCTCTCCTTTCCTATTCCGGTATCTTGCCTTGTCAAGAGAAGGAACTCTTAACTTGATGTGAGTTCCATCCAAGGCGCCTAAACAATTTTATAAAATAGAAAAGTAAAAAAAAGTTAATACAAATTGTTCACACAACTTTCAAAAATAATGATAAATACATAACATATATATTTACCTTAAACCACTTCCACCTTTCGTCGCTAGAGTCATCAGCCACTGGCTCTGGTTTCTTCAACAACATATCTCCAAGTCTCATCATACTAGTAAGTACTGAGTTGAAATGCCTACTAATAGTTTCTCCCGATCTACCAAAGTTATGTTGTATTACTCTATTCTTCACATGATGTGCTAGTATGTGTAAAAACATGGCAACTTGTTCATCTACAAGCATGTTCTTACTAGGTTTAAGACCACCCACATCCGTTAGCATAGAACACAACTTATCAAATGTTGATCTATGCATTCTAAGTAAGTTGTAACAGGCTACATCACTGCTAGACATCATTCTCTTTAGGTAAGATCTCTTAGCAATAAAATCCATTTTGTAAGGTATATGTCTGATTCTTCGTCTCCTTAGTATGATAGTCATCAGGTATGGTTAATTATTATTATAAACATAAATTGATTTTTCAACTTTAAAACTGTCTTCACATTAACATAATTATAATTATAGATTTTTTTTAAGTAGAAGAGGTGATGTGTGTGTCCAATAGGTCAAATAGATAATAAGTTATTAACAAATTGGTTAAAATATTGGAAAATTAAGCAGACAGATATTGTTTGATTGATTCAGAGCTGCTTCTTTTTTGTTGCTTCAAAATGCCGTTAAACAATATTTAATACAAAGCTAAACAATATTTGATGCTGCTGAAAATGATAAGTAATGAAGCTGTTGAAAATGATAACACTTTTATATTGCACAGCAATTCATCTATTACAATTACAAAGCTAAACAAGATTTGATGCTCTGAAAATTTAATCTCAGCTTCAAAAACTACAAAATAGAAAATAGTATCCTAAACTAGTAATACGAAGAGGAAAGGAAAAGACACTGAACCCACAGTTGAATTTATGCCTAAGTAAATGAAGAGAATGCCTATTGATTTCTTGACGTATAGACTAAAGAAAATGAGATTGAGGTTTCCTGAACCCACAGTAGGTATGTACGCAATATCTGCCTCTCATATACATTTTGTATTATTTCTTATGCAATCGGTTCTGTTTTCTTGACAGATGTAATAGGATTCTTGAAAGGGTTTGGCTCTTACAATTTCAAAAAATTTTAAAGATTATGCAGATAAAAACCTACAAACAATCATTTGTGAAGGAGAGGACGGAGCAACAGTACCTGAAGGAAAAGGAAAAGCCAAATACAAAGAAGATGGAAGAAGAATATCGACGAAGGGGGAGGACGGAGCAACAGTACCTGAAGGAAAAGGAAAAGCCAAATACAAAGAAGATGGAAGAAGAATATCGACGAAGGGGGAGGACGGAGCAACAGTACCTGAAGGAAAAGGAAAAGCCAAATACAAAGAAGATGGAAGAAGAATATCGACGAAGGGGGAGGACGGAGCAACAGTACCTGAAGGAAAAGGAAAAGCCAAATACAAAGAAGATGGAAGAAGAATATCGACGAAGGGGGAGGACGGAGCAACAGTACCTGAAGGAGCGATGAAGGAGATGGCAACAGGGCAGATCGATGGACGATGGACGAGTCTCTTGCGGCGCCGATGGAGATGCGTTCGACTTGAGGTTACCTGCAATGCTGATGACTTTTATCAGGGCAAAACTCAACAGGGGCACTATTGTCAAAAAATATTATAACCATGGATAATATTGTCATAAAATATTATAAACCCAGGTTTAATTTTTCAGTACCAGGTAGGAGATGGGTTTGTGTAATCCCACCTAAGTGGGTTTCAGCAAACCCAAATAAGAGCCAATGCTTTATACCAAACACATTAAATTGGGCCTTATTCAATGCCAATGCCAAACCCAACCCTTCAATGCTGCATACCAAACATGGCCATAGGGTGTCTTAATAATGCCTACCATCTATGCTTAATTTTTTTTAAAAATAAATCTGACACATAGCTCGGCTTGATACAAACCGAGTTATGTGTCAGAATTTTTTTTTGAAAACTCGGTTTTATGGATACCAATTTGTAAATTTGTAATATTTGGATAAATATTTTAAAAAGTATAGTATTGGGTTTTTTTTATAGCATCTGGATAAAAATTAAAAATATTTTATATTTTTAAACATTTAACTTTTAAAAAATACTTTATATTTTTGAATCGAAGAAGTATTTATTGTAAAATATTTAATCGAAATAAATATAAAAAATATGATTAATTTAAAAATAGATAATTATTTTATTAGAAAGTAAAATTTAATTAAAAATTTTTTATATCAAAAAGAGGAGTAACTAATTAGTACTTAGGCCACATGCACCCAATCTCATGAAGAAAATTATGAAATTAAATTAATTACTCTTTCTATTTAAAAATATAAAATATTTTTACTGAATTATACTTTATATAAATTAGTTAATTATTTTTAAGTTAATACAATATTTTAAATTTATCTTTATTAATAAGTTATCTCACTTCAAAATAAAATGTCAAGTAATTTATTTATTAAAAATTATTTTTAAAAAATCATTAACTATATATTAACAAAAATCAAAAATATTTTATCATAAAAAATATTTTATATATTTTTGTTAAGAATTATTTTAAATTCTCTTTATAAATTATTTCTACCAACTTTATTCAATATTAATATAAAAAATAAAAAAATAAAATTATATAAAATATTAAATATATTTTTATATAATAAATTTTAAAAGTAATGTATTATTAATTTTTTATAAAAATAATTTTTAAAATATTTTTTAATATTACTCAAAAAAGTTGTATCGTCATTTAAAAATAAAAAAATGATAATATAATATTTTTAAAATTTATAAATGATAATTTAATTTCTTGAAATGTTATAATTTTTTTAAAAATTTTTCTATCATTAATAAATTTTATAAATTTTGTAATTTGTTGTTGCATTTGTACAAATATAAAAAAAAAATTATAAATATTTAAACAAAACTTATGAATCATTTATTTTAATAAAAATAATTTAATAATTTATATAAATTTATTAATAACAAAAAAATTTAAAAAAATTTTAAAAAAAATTATAACATTTTAAAAATTAAATTATTATTTATATATTTTAAAAAAATTTGATGATTATTTTTTTAAAAGAAATAAAATTAAATAAATATTTTAAAATGTATGTTGTGAAATTGGAGAGAAAATAATTTTATGGAAAACATTTCAAGCAATTAAAATCTTCCCGTTATTTCTGAATTCTGACAAAACACGCGGTCCAAGAGCAGAGCAGGGAAATACGGGTCCTTGGTAAGGCCACCATGATACACAATGCCCTGCTTTTTGGCCGCTTTACATCATATCAACCATCAAATCAACGAACCCAATAAACACACAAATAGCCAAATAGGCACTACCTTCATTAAAATAACCTCAAAAGTATCACTAATCCAGGCCAGAGACAATTCTCCTCCTTCCAAAAATCCCAAGCTGTCTGTCCCCATCATTGTTAATGCCCATGCTTTCCACCTTTTTCCCTCCTTCCTTCCGTCATCCCTATGTTCTTCTCTCCAGTCACTGTCAGAGACAAAGCCATGGAGCAGCAGGCCAGAGAAGAGCTTGGAATGCTTGAATCCCTCTACCCAGATCGCTTCCAGTATTTGAAGCTCGAGCTCCAGTCCTTCATTTCTCAACCTCATCATCATCATCACCATCACCATCACCTCTCCTTCCACTCTTCCATGGCTGACACTCAAGGTTTTTCTCTCCGCTCCTCTGCTTTGCTTTTATTCTTTTGTTCCCCCTATGTCCTGTCCGTCTTAGCACTGTCGAGTGTGGTGGTTTCTGTGAAGCAGAATCGAGCAGCTTGAATCAGAGGAAGAGGAAGAAGATGAGTCCTAGTGCTGATGAAGATTCTGACCATTGTTACAGAACTGAGAATTGCTCTGGCAGGTTTGTGAAGAAGAAGAAGAAGAATAAAGATAAGGTGGATTTATTGCTGGAGAGAGCAGAGGCCTGTCTGAGGAAAATACGACAGTTTAAGGCATCCTTACTATGTAACTCGTGAAAGTAGCTTAAATGTTTGTGTGGCGTATGTAATGATGGAAATGTAAACGTAAATGCAAGCCCAGGTTTAGCAAGCTGCGAATCTGCTCTAATAGGTTGGTTCAGCCTCAGTGATTCTTGTTTTGGTTGGGGTTGTTCATCTTCGTTTTGGAAATTGTAATGGCACAAGGGGCTTCTCCAGAGATACTGTTAATGGCTCCAAAAAGGTTACTGTATGACAACACAAACTAGTTAAGTTTTCTGGGATCAAATTCCTGTGCGATGCAGACTTTACTGATAGATTATTCATGGTGTTGTTTGGTATAAGGTATTACATTTTAAAAGATTGAAAATGGGATTGGGAGTGCGAATAATTTTTAAAAATCTTGTTTGAGATTGGGATTAAAAAAAATGAGATTGAGAGTAAACCAAAAAAATTGCAAAAGAGACCTAAATGCCGTCATCTCTTTCCTTCCACCTTTCCACCTTCATCTCATGCTTCACTTTTATTTCAAGGAAACCCAAAAAGCCCAAAAAATTCAACTTCGAAATCATCGCTTCTAACTCGGTCAGAAGCACTAAAGTCAAAAATCAATAAATTTGTTTTCAAGAATCAATCGCCCGTGCTCAAGAAGCTAGCAATGAAGGAATCAGAGAACAAGCGATCTGCATCTAAAGGGATGGAGATGGTGATGCGGCAAGAATGATGGAGATTGCAACAAATCCAAGCCCACGACGACGATGAAGAACCCAGAGGTCGCAAGTGACCGACGAGGTCGCTAGCGGCAACAGTAACGATTTTGGTGCAGAAGTTCGACCTTGACGACGAAACTCAAGTTCAACCACGACGACGATGGGACCTCTCTTGGGTATTATAGGGTTGTCGATTCTAAACAAGAACATTTTGGTCTTGAAAAAAAAAAAAAAAATCAATCCCAACAGTTGTTTTTGCATTGCTGAGGGGGATGGGTGAGTGATTTTGTGTTATCTCACATAACATGAGATTGGGATTGTCATTGACTTTATCAATGATGCACACTAAACATAATAAGTTAGGTTTATTCAATCTCAATCTCATTCTCATCTTTTTAATGCTTCTTACCAAATAAGGTCTATAGGTATTTTATAAACACTCTTTTTAAGTTTGGAGGAATGTTCTAATACTTAAAAGAATTTTTTGGCATAAAAAAAACAAAAGGTTTTAATATGTATCTTGACGGTTATTTTCTTTGAATCTTTATATCTCATTATTCATCAACTTTTCTATATTTATTCATACCTCTTTTGGCCAATCTGCTAAGTGCTAATAGGTTATTGACTTATTGTAATGATTCGTAACGGTTTTTGATTTTGTATGGGCATTATAGTAACAACAAAAAGGACTCTTATATTGTTAGAGTTGGTATATACATGTATTTGAAGTTTTAATGGTGAAGTTTTTTAAAAATTAGACCTCCGATAGTATGATTGAAGATTTTTTTTTTTGAAGGAATTGGAATTGCAATTGAAGATGAAATATAATTGTATTAGAAAAGATATGTTTGATATACACATGAAAATCAGATATATTTTTTATTTGATAGTAATATTTATAACATCAAATTACTATAAATCATTTATCGAATACCAAAAAAAAACATCACTAGAACTTAGAATCATTGACCAACATTGTGTTTCTCCATTGCTGGCAATGACTATATCACTATCACTGTCCGGACCTCAACCAAACTCACAAATCAAATCCCAAAAAATCAAAACAATGACCATATCACTATCATTGTCCGGACCTCAACCGAACTCACAAATCAAATCCTAAAAAATCAAAAGAACCTGACCAATAATTAGATACCAAAAACAGAAATCCCCTCCTTGTCTGGTTCCATTTTTGCCTCTTGTAGTTCATCACATCTCATTACCTTATCCATGCTTCATGATGTCCAACAACATGCAATTTAAAAGGATTCGAGAAGAGGAATAGCAGTGAAAAGAGATGGCAACAACAACCCACCTATTGTCGACAACAAGCACCAAGATCCCAAAATTGCGAATTGATGAAGCAAGGGACCTCATTAGGATGACAAAGCGTAGATAGAGACTGAGATGAAGAAGAAAAGGAAGAAGAGGAGACGGTAGCATGATCAAGGTTGAAGAGAGAAATCATTGTCATCATACTAGATGTTGAAGCACCACCATCATCAAGGCCGTTTCGTGGGAAGGCAATGCTACAATAAAGATGAAGTGGAAAAGGAGAAGGCATTGAGTTCCGCAACGATGAATTCTAAGGAATCCAATTGATTCTAGCCTTTTTGTTAGAGTTGGATTCCTTGAAAATTACAATTCTTGTCTCCCAAAAAACTTAGATCTATATTTTCTTTCTTATACCAAACAAGATCTTAAAGAGTCTTTGGAGTTTTTTTTTTAATAAAATGAATTAATATATTAAAAAAACGTTAAAGTACAATAATTCATGAGTGAAAAGGTTTGAAAAGTAAAAGTTAGTTAAACATTCGTGATTGAAAACTAACAAGAAGAAACATACCTTAATAAGCTATGGGGGTCAAAAATTAACGTTGATAAGCCATATCCAAGCTTTTGAACTATTATTTCTTGTAGCAAACAAATTGAAGTTTGACTCTGCTATTAGATGACAAAAATGTCCCAAAGTAACCCAAAGAAGAGTACAACGTAGAGGCTCTAGGGAGACATTGGTGTCGGAGTTCAAGCAGATCTCCATTTCAACGCATGATTTCATTCTGATCCAGATAGATGATGCAAGATGCATGTAAAGAGTAATCCCAAATTAGATTTTGTTTTTTCAAAATATTTTCCAATTTAGAAAATTTTGTGCAAGAATAGTTTGGATTTGTCCAAACTAGCATATCATTCTGATTTCTTGGAGATTTATCTAAGGTCAACACTTTCACAGTTTGCTTGATCATTCCAATAATGAATCTCAGTCAAGAAGAAAAATTCGTGATGAAATTCTGAGATTATACTGTAAAGGAGTTAGAGAGAGACCCTTGTGATGAACCAAGTTTCTTTTCATTCAAATCAGATTTAACAAGGTCACAATTCCTTTGATCAGATCAATGTTTCCTTCTGAATATAACTTCGAAAGAACCAATGATATCCATCTAGTTCGACCAAAATCAGCTATGGAAGAAGAATGAATGTAAAGAGCTCCAAACCAAACTACTTTAGTGAAAGGACAATTACAAAAGAGATGCCTCAGAGACTTCGCTTTTTGACAACCAAAAGGGCAAAGAACTTTTACATGATGATTATTGAGTCTTTAGAATTAAATACATCTATTTTTTTTCCACCAAAAAGTTTATTAAAAAAGTAACCAGGGGAAAACCCTTTTCTAAATTAAATTCGTACAAGGTAACAATTATTTTAAAAATTAAATTCTTAAAGAATTGAGACGATTATATATTTATATATATATATAATCTTATGAATTTGAGATATTCTTATAATCATTGGTTGCAATTTATGCTCTTTGCTTCTTTTAAGAAACAACCAGTGTACACTAATCCACTATCATCTTCCACAAACAATTCTCCACTCTCCACTGGGTTCAGCTCAGATTCTACCTAGCCTCATGACATTCACTCCATATCGTCAAATTCAAAGAAGGAAATTTCCTGTTACAACAAGAAAACAACAATCTCCACAGTAATCATATGGAATGATCCCCAGTAAATTATATTGGTATGAGGTCAAACCTGATGCATGATTGCCTGGTGGACAAAATACTCAATAATCTACTACTTCAAAATTGTCGTCTCCTCAAATGGGAAATGGAAGAGCCATAATTAAGATGCATGCATTCTTAGTAACTGCTTCAATCAAATATTTACAAATATCAAACACTCCCACCATAATTAAGATGCATGCATTCTTAGTAACTGCTTCAATCAAATATTTACAAAATATAAAACACTCCAAAAATTGGTGTTGAATACACTATACTAGTAATGGAATTTGGAAACAAAAGAATCAATACTACAATTGCAACAATAAAAAACTTTATCCCACTAGGTGAGATTTGCTATATGAATTGTACAATATCATTATACTCCATCATTAACAAATTGTTAAAAATATATTAAAATAAAAGGTCTTGATTAACAACTTCTATAAATTCTCTTTAACCTTCTTTAATGGGGTTCAAAAATTATCTGAGGTCTCAAAGAGGGTCATGTTATAGAAATCAAAGCTAAACCTTAAATACCAAACCCTATATTAAAACACACACAAAAAATAAAATTTAAACACTAATGAAAACATCTTTTTAATTTATAAAACAATTAAGAAAGCTCTTTTTGAAGCTAGATTGATATAAATTTTCAAAGCAAACTTTGTTTTATATTTAAAAAAGAATTAAATCTATTGACAACTATTTTTCATGATAGTTTTTGGCACAAAAATAAAACAAGGACATATATAAATAATCTCCACTATTGCCCCCTTGGCGCACTAGTTAGTATCTGCCTTGACATGGTCCTAAGTAAAAAGGACGCTAGAGGTGGAGTAAAAACAATTTTTTTTTAATCTTATATTGCTAACTTGATAAGCATAAAGGACATGTGCAGATCGCAGTATCCTCTGAATTGGAGATTCTTGCCACTGCCATGAATGAGTACATGATGGTTCACCAATGTACAATAAATGTTATGTCCGAGCTCTCTTCCTCTGGAACATTTCTTGAACTAATATGATAGCCCCACTCCAGAGAAGTCTTCCCTTTGATCGCCATCCAAGAGCTGCCACAATATTGAAAATCAGAGGGACAAAAAGAATCGGAACTATCGCATCATATTTCATCTCTGCTGAAAAGGTTCCATGCGAGTAGATGGTGTATAGAATTCTGCATCCTTTTAAAGTCCTAAACAGATAATTAAAATAACATATCATCAGGTATCCAACATCTCCCTAAGGTGCATTTGTTTATAACTTGTCCAGAAAATTTGAGACCGAAGTTGTCATCTTTGCGTATGCGGATACCAACCTGTTAATAGGTAGAGTTGTTCATATAATAATTTACCTTGTAGCAGCAGCAGGACGAACATAAACATGAAAGGAAGTCAAGTGACATGGCAAATAGAACATGGTTCTTGTTTCAAGTGTCATTAAAGCTCCGGTCAAGGTGATTATGAGTCTTGTCTTTCTTCTTCATTTTCGTTGCTACTGCTTTGATCCTGGTACTGGAATAACAGCAGGTAGACCCCTACGCCCTAAAACAACAAGATCAAGAAGCCTTCTCCTTGCCTCATATATGGGATTTGGTTCAACCAAACACCCTCTCTCATAAGCTTCCTCAGAATACAGTGTGCCGTTTTCCCTTAGTTGACAATAGAATATCCCGGGTGATCCAGGAACAAAATCCCTTAGTTCAAGTCAATCCAAACCATTTTCTTGAACTGGCTCATCTTCTCTACTTCAATCATCTTCTCCACTGTCAAATAAGAAATTCATGAACGATTGAGGACAGCTCGTTTTCTGAAGCCATCATTCCAGACAAACTGAACTGCATTTCCATTCGATTCGATCAAGCTTGCATCTTCTTTGCAGCATCAACAACCCTCCAATTCTCAACAGCTGCTGTAAATTGTTGTCAGGAAGCACATCAACCAGTTTCAGTAAATGAGTATTTGGTTCATCAGCATCGCACAGTTGGAAAAGATAAGGATTTTGAGAAATTACTGAGTCCTCAAAATCATCAGGAAGCCCAAGTTCCCGCCAAACCTTGAAAATAGCACGAAGAGGTACCATTTTGATGCAGACATGAACAGTATCCGGACCAACCTATCAACAACATTGGGTATTGAAGCATTGATGGCCATTGCTTCCTGACAGGAAATTTCAAGAGCAGCATCGGTTAATTTGCAAAATGGTTGGGACTTACTTGTTCATAAAAAATGTGGAAAATATGAGGGGTACTTGCGGAGAGAAATGCCATGGCACCCCGATTTAGATGGAGCTTTTGGGAGAGTCTGGGAGAGAAATTCAACTGAGACAGACTGCTTCCTTGGGTTTGCAAGGATAAGATCCTGAATTGCAATGACTTTGAGAAGGTTCTTGTACTTGTCCATCAGCTTCTCAAACGTGGGGTCTCTGGCTCTAGAAGCTACATACTGGGAAGATGTCACTTTTGATCGAACACACATAAAATGACAGGCCGGGTGTTTCCTTAGAAATTTCACCAGGTAGGTCACCATTTCACTACACAATCAAAGAACCCTTTCCTCTCTCTCCCTTCCTCCTGAATTAAAATTAAATGACAGTATTCAAGATTTCCTCTCCCCACATCATCTTTTTTCCCACACATTAACATACCCCTCAAAACAATCATCTACAACATATCCAGAACCTTCTGGAATTGCCCACTTGCCATAGAATTGCCGCTTAAATAAATCATAGGGGCACTTGTCACACACCCAACAATTCAATTCAAATTATCCTCTGTCCGTCTATCTATCATTATCAGCCATCAACGAAAGCCCCTACAACAAAAACCCTATAAGCCACAAAATCAAATATAAGCTACTAAACAAAATACTAATAAAACTACTGACTTTACCCTGCTCAAAAAACAAATCCGCTGTAAATTTAAATTTAACCAGAATATTCAAATTTTCCTCCTGCTAAGTGATTGTTATTATTTTTCCCCACATGTGCTTCAGATCAATAATCCCATACACATCCAAAATCCCACTTGCAATAAAATTTAAATGATAAACCAGCACTATATATATGTCAGACACCACTTAGCACATGTGCACAGATAAACTTTTTTCCACTCTCTATTCATCAGATACCCACAACCTCCGGCTAAACTTTTTTAAAGTTTGTGTTGCAGATCTTAGGCTTAGCATAACAAATAATGAAGCACACAAAATGTGATCTAATAAAAATTATTTATTCTGGAAAGGAAACATGCAAGCTGTGAGTGAAGGTTCTATATAAATGGAATATGACAAAAACAATGCCTCCTCATGAACCATATGGCATCAGAATGGTATTACTTGATGAAGAGGTACTCTCCATACCTATTGCTTTCGCTATGAACTCTTCACCCACATCCACTACTCCATGCTAAGCTTTACATATACAAACCCATCTGTCATATATAAATCTACTTATATTTCACAAAGTAACAAAATCCAGTCAAACATTTCCTCAAAAATTTTTCCCCACATGTGCTTCAGATCAATAATCCGCATACACATCCAAAATCCCACTTGCAAAAAATTTAAATGATAAACCAGCACTATATTATGTCAGACACCACTTAGCACATGTGCACAGATAAACTTTTTTCCACTCTCTATTCATCAGATACCCACAACCTCCGGCTAAACTTTTTTAAGTTTGTGTTGCAGATCTTAGGCTTAGCATAACAAATAATGAAGCACACAAAATGTGATCTAATAAAAATTATTTATTCTGGAAAGGAAACATGCAAGCTGTGAGTGAAGGTTCTATATAAATGGAATATGACAAAAACAATGCCTCCTCATGAACCATATGGCATCAGAATGGTATTACTTGATGAAGAGGTACTCTCCATACCTATTGCTTTCGCTATGAACTCTTCACCCCATCCACTACTCCATGCTAAGCTTTACATATACAAACCCATCTGTCATATATAAATCTACTTATATTTCACAAAGTAACAAAATCCAGTCAAACATTTCCTCAAAAGGATTTGATGGAGAAATTTGAGCAGTCTTTGACTGAAGAAAGCTACTATATAAAATCCAAATTTTTAGTGTCTCCCAGCTCTGCATCAAGTTCAATTAGCTGTCATTTAACCCTACGTTACTTATGCTCTTTGACTTCATTGTTCCCTTTCATTTCATCCTAGCAAACAATTGTCATATCTGCAACCTTGGAGAAATTCAAGACCAGATACAGGTGGGTATATAACAGCTGTAAACAGTGTTCATCAAAGCAACAATGATGGAAATGCCTTGCAGAAATGCAACAAAAATGTGGAGAAGACCCAACCAAAGTAAGCCAGCAAAATAAACTCTTGCTCTCTCTATTGGATTCAAACTTATCATGTTTCATTTATACAAACAAATCTAGCATGCAGGATAAAGATTCATTATGATGTCCAGGACCACATTGGATCCACATATGTTGTCTTTTTTGATGCACTAGCCAGAGAATTCCTTAAAGCCACTGCTGCAGAACTCATTCAGGAATTCAATGAGGTCTATTTGGCTTAGCATACACAATAGCACCCAGATATTCTCTAACAATGCCATACATAATTATGTTTATCTTTGTATCATTTATAATTGACTTTCAATTATAACTACAACAATTTATTTGATAGTAACTTCTATCTACAAGAAGAAATATCCTACTGTTTCCCACATAAACTTGATGAGTTAGCTGGCAAGAAACTAATCATGAAGCTGAAATACAATTATTACAATAAATCCGTGAAAAAAACTACCAATGAACCAGCATGCAGCAACACCAATGGCAAACGCATGGTGGAACTCTCTTCCAACAAACAACAACAACAATGATCACAAAGAAGCAAAGAGCAACTTAACTCTATAACGTAATCAAACACATCACATCAGTATCCCCAGCACATAGGTTATTGTGTAAAAATAACTTTTCTTCAGGGAAAGAGAGAACGAGTAAAATCACAACAATACCTATCAATACATAAAATACATGAATATCACATCAAAATTAGTTCTGATACAAATCAAACCGTATAACTAATCACTTTCAGCATTTGAGATGAGTGACTGAGAATGAGCCAGAACGAGAACGAGAAGAGGATGAACGAAAGAAACAACAAAAAAAAAAATAGAGTTATGTGACCTACCGCCTGCTGAGTTGAGGGAGACGGACAAAGAGCAAAGAGAAGACACCGAGGAAGAAATGCTGTTAATGAACAAAGAGAGGGAGACCAGCGAGACGAATGGAGAGTGAACGCTAAGGTCTTGAGAAGTGAGGAGACCGGATCGAGAACGACGGACTCAGAATGAAAGTCAAACTACGATGGGCGGAGAGGGAAAGTAGAAGTGGAGAGTCGGTAATTGAACAGGAGATGAGACAGCTAGAGAGCTGCGAGGAAGAAGCCGAGTGGGCGTGAGGCGGGGAGAGGCAGCGGCGCCGGCGATGGAGTGAGGGTAAGGGAGGGAGAAAGGGAGTCACCGAGGCCGCGAGCTACTGGGGAACGAGTGCCACGAGAGCCGCTCTGCTGAAGAAGAGGACGAGAACACGATTGGCAGTCTCCTGAAGTGAATATTGAATCCGATCCGTAAAGAAAAGGCTTCTAGATTCCGGTGACATGAGGTAAAATAAAATAAAACAAATATAAGAGTTATTTAAAATTATTTTTATTTTATTATTTTAAAAATTAGTATTTTATAAAATATATTTTAAAAATAAAAATAATAAATAATCACAGAATAAATAAAAGTTATTTTTTTTTTTTTATTTTTCAGAACAATATTTTATTTTTTTTTTTAAAACACTTTTAAAACATGTTATTAAATTTTTTTTTATTCTTTTATTTTAAAAAATAAAAAACTGTTTTTAAAACAGATTTTTAATAAACCCTAACTAACTTGCTTTTCTGTTTTTTTTTTTACCAATTTTCTTTTACCATTTAACATTTAAAAAAAAAGTGAGGGTTTTTGTTTGCCACATGTATTTCGGAACAATCCGTTGGAATCACCATTAGGCCTTAAATTAAGGGTAAATGAGCGTATTTATCTTTAAAATATTAAATGAAGCATCTAACACTTTAATTATTGATCAAGATAATTTTATTTTTAAATTAATTAAAATAAAGCATTTTTATTCTTACTGTCAAATTTCTAACGTAAACTGTTAAAAAATGCTAATTGAAACCCCAACGTTAATTATTAAAAATTTAATGGTAAGGTTAAAAATGCTTTGTTTCAATTACTTTAAAAACAAAATTACTTTGATCAATAATTTATAGTATTGAGTGCTCCTTGAAAAATATTTTAAGAACAAAAATATTCATTCACCCTTAAGTTAATAAGGGTTATTCATGCTAGTATAATTTTGAAGGGGTTGGATCTAATTTTTTTTAAAGGTCAAATATGTACAATAAAATGATATAAAAAAATAGATAATAGCAATATTTAAAGAAAAAGAAGAGTAGTGAAAATATCGAATGAACCCATGAAGCTATACCATGAAATATACTTCTCGGCTCGTTGAAATAGAGAAGGAGATGCGCAATGTCATGTGTCTAAAAAACTCAAGCATAAAACTCCCAATTTCATCCCTTAGCTTTTCCATGCCAAAGAAAGTGAATCCACCCAAGGTTGTTCTTCAAATTCCAATTCTTACTTTGCAATACTGATAAATCCAATAAAGCAAACTATGAATACGTGCAATGGAGAATCCTTGTGATGTCAAAAATTGAGATTTCTCAAATATTATGCCCTGCATAAACTTTCATCCAATTTAATTCTAGGTAATATGATCAATGCTTTATTCTTCTTGAACTTTTGACATTCTATTTTCCATGAAAATGTTAAAGTGCCAAATCTAATCACAACCCCCATAGCGTTTTGATCTACTATTCTCAATTTCAAAAAAGCTCCTAATGCTTTTAGAAACTATGGTATTTGAAACTTGAAAGCATAGAGTTCAAATTGTAAGTCATTTTTATGACAACAATATGATCCTTAATTTATGAATAACTTGCTTATGATTAATTTTGATTCCCTCACAAAAAGCTAGATTTATTTATATCAAATTAGATGAATTAAGGTAAAAGTACTTTCACAAAGTAAAGTTCCTCGTCCTTGATCAAAACACCTATAATACTTTTGAGCTATGGAATAAACTCTTGTTCAATTAAGGAAGAAGAAGAAATAAAGAAAAATATCAAACTAAATAGCCCTTGTAAAACGGCATTAACAAAAAATGTGTTGAAGATAGTCTAAAGCCTCACAGTCAAAATAAAAAAACAAAATAATAGGGTTAAAGGCATTTGTCATTGGGTGTCTTTGGTTTAAAAAAAAGAAAGAGCTTTTTCTTTTTAGGTAAAAGTTGGGGTTAAGCATAAACAAATTCATCGTTTTATACACAAGATGAGAGATTAAAACTCCTATGTAATTTTGATACAGCCAAGAAACAATCACATTGAGAGAAGTTTTCATCACAATGAAACTCTTTGCTTGATTTACACTCTTCTTAACAAGCTAATTTGTATGAAGATTACCTTCTCTCACACATACTTCACTACAACTTTAGTCTTATTATTAATGAATTCCATATAAAGATTTTATTTTTTATTTTATGCTTATCAGAATAATTTTTTTAAAAAGTTATAAATTAAATTTTTTTATTTTTTATGAATAATAAAAGCTTTAAATGTGAGATTAAATTTAAATGTTCCAAATTTTTTTATGCCTTTCTTTCTCTATTTCTTTTTCTTTTTTTAATAAACGGAAGCGTGATACGTCTCACACCCTCCCAAAAAGCCAGTCTCGGCGGGAGCGACTGAGCGAGTACGAATTATTCAAGAATTTATAAAGGGGAAACTCGGAGAAAAACTTGGAAGAAAAATGGTGTGGGGTCTCTTCCCCGTCGACCCTCTTTCAGGTACACTTGTTTTCCTGTTTCTAATTTCTTGGTGAAACGTTGGGTTTGAATGGATAGCTACTGATGATTAAGGTTGCTACGAACTCCAACCATTTGCAAGCTCTAATTCAGAGTTGATCTTATTAGAATAAGAATATGGCAAAGTTCACGTCTTGATACTCTCCGATCAAGTTGTAGAGGAAAGGGAAACCAAACCCTTGAGGGGGATCAAGTCCTCTTTTCTTTGCGGGTGACCAATCTTTGGCTACACAGAAGTTTTCAAAAGTCCTTGAGTTAAACACATACTGAGCTTTGTATCTTGGATTTTAAATGTGTGATTTCAGTATACAGATTTTATTCTTTTTCAGGTTATTTTCATGTTATTATATGGCTGTGTCTATGCATTAGTCTTCCACCTAGGGTTATTTTAATTAAGCACTTTTTTTTTTGGCATACAGATACTTAGGTGAGTAGCACTACTTATGAATAGCTCGGCTTGCTATCGCTCTTATATGATATCCTGACCTGATTGATATATTGACAGGTGAAGATAAGTACTACATTTTTAGATGTGGAATCTACAAAGTTGGTCGAAAAGGTACAGCACTCCTACTAATACTTTTGCAATATAGGTATTTATTGATCTGAATTATGTTGCCTTCTTGCAGTGAAAGGTCTACCTTGCTTACTGATAATGCATAAATGCTGGATATGAAACATAGATACCACAAAAAATAATGAAAAAAGATCCTCAACTTGAAGAGGAAAGACCAAACAAAAATATCAAGGTACAAACTGGACTAGTAGGGTCCAGTGTATTTCCAAATTGACCTAAAATGGCATTTTCTTTGAATATTTTATTTCATCATTTTGTGAAAAAGGATTAACAATTCTATTGTAACATTTAGCAGTAGACATTTGTTTTCAAGTCATCAGCATGATCAAACTCAAGGTTGTTGATAGAGTGCAATGACATCATGCAATTCATGTAGCCGACCTCACTTAGTGGGATGAGGCTTGTTGTTGTTGTTGTTGTATTAAACTAGATTCACTATAATATGCTTTATAATATGGAATTTGAGCTATTCGGATATAGCATAATAAGTACTACAAAGATGAGATTGCTAGGCTAGAAAAAGATAGATATAGAAGTGAGCTTAATTGAAAAGCAGAGCAATGTATATGAAGTATTCTATTGGCAAGCACTGGGGTGTGATTGCAAATACCTTGTTGTGTAAGAAACAGAGGATCACTATAGAGCAATGCATGAAGGAGATGAGGAACACAAAATTTGATACCAATGGAAGTAGTATGCAAGGAGAAGGCTCTAAAACATTAAAGGAGAACATACCCTTTGACCTTGGTGTTGCATTGAATAAAGTACAATTATATGGAATGTCATACACGTACCTCAAATACTTTTGGCAATGGATTCATGGAATCAACTATGTATTTTGGATCAAGGACTCTGGTTTGTGTTTTGCAACCTGAAATGTTTTTGTATTGTCGTATGCTTCTGAAGTTATTTTCAATGGGGGAAAATGTTTGGTAGGATTGTTTATTTTACATTATTGATGGGATATTATTTTTACAGTGTTATATTCAGGTCTTTCAACGAGTTTAACTTGTAGTTCATCCTCTACATCGGTGTCATTCAGGCCCTGATTCCTTGGCATGTAGTCTACAATCTATAACTCTTCATGTTTTATTTTAAACTTTGTCTTATCCTTTATTTTTTGGTTGCATTGTATGTATTTATTTTCTTCTTCTTGTCTTTTTGTTTCCTTTCTTGTCATGATTTCATTGGAAGAGATAAAGTGATGGTCCCTTTCTATATATTGATTAATTTCTGAGCAATAACATGGGATTCCCAAGAATGTTTTCTCTTTATTTTTGCAGCCCTAAATTAGAAATATCAGCCATGGCTATAGTTGTCAGGAGTTAGAAAAGATTATCAATCTAAGATCCATTCTAGAATGAGGGAACCTCATATTCTGTCATTTTATCAATCCCCTTCCAAAACAAAAATTAGCTTCAAAGATGAAAATGTTCTGCTCTATGCAACTTTAATGGGTACAAGTATCTGATGTGTTCTTCTATAGTACTAATGGCACTACATAACGCAGTAAAACTTTGATTGCATTTCTCTCCAATGAACAAATTCAAAATGTTGGTAGGTTTTTTAGAATGTTTGGTTTTGTTTATACCATTTTTTGGGTTCGTCATAAAATTTACAGTTGAATTCTGCTTATCTGTTCTTTAACACATTTTACATAAATCTTAGCAGGTTTTCCCATGTCCCACTAGTTTTCTTTATCCGTTCATGGATAAAGTGGATCACTCTCTTGAGAGAGAGTGTAATCATCATTTGGTCAGTGAGGAACCCTTTTTGAGGCTGTTTGGCTTTCTTATAATTCTGTTTGTATGTCTGCTTTGAAAACTGATTTAGCACTTGAAGTTCATATTCCCTGGTAGAGTGCATATTGAATTGATTTTTGTTGCTACTGCCCATACTTAGTTTTTGTTAGTCTCCGCATATGCTTGTACTTAATGATCATGAGAAGAAACTTATGACTGTGTTTGCTGAGAAATAGAGTTTGCATGTCTTTGATAACGTTAAAATTTTTCTATTGCATAGTCAATGTGAAACTTTTTGTTCCCAGTTCTTGTAGAAGACTCCAAAAAGCTGCTTCTCTTCCACTAGATAAAAAGTTATAAATCTATATGTTGTGGTGGTGGGCAAACCACAATTAGAGTTATCAATGGAGATTAAAAAAAAAAAAAAAGCACTGCCAAGTAGACGCTTATGTCTTATTGATTTAGCAGAATGGTCTTTAAAAGCTCTTAATTTTTTTTTTTGTCATAAGTTTTTAAATTTGTTAAACAGAGGTACCATGGGAACATATCTTTGATGCAGTGTCAGCCTCTATTCTTTAGGATATCTTAATCTTTTTTATATCCTGTGGCCTTTCATTAAAATGAACACTGCCCAACTTTTATAGTTTTATGTTCATAATAGGTGGTGGCATTACAAATGCAATAGGACAAGAGTGCACCCATGTGCTGGTGGATCAGAACACGCCTTTGAAAAACGATCTTGTTGATGCTGTTGTAGCCAGGAAACCTTTTATTCTCAAAACTTGGGTTGAGGTATTAAAGCATTTAAATATCCTGTATTATTTGATATTCGTTTTGGGTATTCACTTTGCTACTCACGTTTTACTTTCAAATGATCCATTGTCTTCGTGAAGATGCTTTTCAAATGTATTAGGCTGAGTTGATGTAAGTATTCTGAGTCAAAAATTGTGACCTTTGAAGAAGTATCAATTTTCTGCTTGGGACATGTTAATTAGGACAGAGAGTAAATGCATCTAAATGAATAGTTGATAATGAATGCTTACTACAGCTGTGTTTTGAAGGGGGGCAGGGGTGTTCCACCCCACAAAACAGCATTTTAGTAATTAAACGCAGAAATATCCCTGAGGAAGCTTCTGCATTTTAATTTATGCCAAAAAAACCCCCCGCTCCAAAAAACACACACACCCCCACCCACTACAGTGTCTTTCACTGCTTCTGTTGCAGGGTATTTACCAAAGGGTTAGGCCTTGCGGTATGTGCCAAAAAGAGGTTAAATGATATTAATGCATAACTATTTTATCCAATATGCAGTCTATAAATGAGAGGTTTGATTCAATGATTTATGTCGAGGATACATAGCAAATTCATATTTCATATGTTTTTTGTGACATGACTGTCTGTTCCTTATGTAGTTTGTTGCAGAAAAGAGCATCAGCACTGAAATTCCTAGCTATAATTCGTAAGTGTTAATTTTTTGTGGCTTTTGGCTATATTAGCTATATATTCCTTGACACTACCGCCAATTAAGCTTACAATGATATTTTTATTTTTTTTTTTTCTAATTTTTCCCCTTTCCCCTTTTCTGTCCCCCACTCAAGCAGCTATATTCCAACACTGTCGGTGGAAGGAGCATCTGTTAGAGTTGTTGACCCTAAAGCTCGCGAACACTGCTTAAAAGGATATACTTTTTTGTTGGATTCAGTTCGCTTGGTATTATGTTTTTTTTTTTTTAAATCTTCTGTAATCTCTGAAAATTAGGTATTACTTTTGTGGTTCAATATCTTGTTTTGGTGCCTTGTAAGTTGTGACTTTAAAATGATGGTAGTCTTGGAAAAATTTGTAATGTTCACAACTAATTTGTGGGCACAGAGATGAAGGAACTCCTAAAAATATGAGCAACTTCTGAATCTGAGAAAGCTTAGAAATGCTGTACTGATATATTTTATCCTTTTCTTCCCTTCTTACAGAATAAATTTGGCGGCAAGTTAAAATCTTTATTGGAAGTGGCTGGTGCAAAAATTGCTTCTTTTGAAGAATTCTGTTCAGATAGCCAAGTAAGAATGTCATTGCGCTCCATTAATTAGTGAACTCTGTTTATATTAAGGTAAATGTTTGACATAGAAAAGTGACAAAAAATGGTTGAGTGGCTGACCATAACAACAACAACAACAAACAACAAGCCTTTATCCCACTAGGTGGGGTCGGCTACATGGATTGCAAGACGCCATTGTGCTCTATCATTTATTAAGCTTTTAGAAATATTATTAATTAAGAGATCACGTTCAACAACTTCCAAGAGTGTTCTCTTAGGCCTTCCTCTACCTCTCTTAATCGGACTCAAAGTTATATGTTCCACTCTTCTCACTGGTGCCTCCCTTGGTCTTCTTTGTACATGCCCAAACCATCTCAATCGATTTTCTACCATTTTTTCCTCAATAGGTGCCACCCTCACTTTTTCACGTATGTGCTCATTTCGAATTTTATCTTTACGTGTATGTCCGCACATCCATCGTAACATTCTCATCTCTGCTACTCCAACTTTATGCTCTTGCTGTCCCGTTAGAGCCCAGCATTCACTACTATATAACATTGCCGGTCTGATAGCAGTACGATAAAACTTTCCTTTAAGTTTATTAGGCACCTTACGGTCACAAATAACTCCTTTAGCTTTTCTCCAATTAAACCACCCAGCTTGAATTCTATGTGAAATATCTCCACTGATTTCGCCATCATTTTGAATAATGGCTCCCAAATATCTAAACTTTTCCACTTGAGGTATAATTTGATCTCCCAATTTCACTTCCAAATTATTTTCGAATAGTCCTTTACCAAATTTACAATATAAATATTCCGTCTTACTTCTACTCAGACGAAAACCTTTCGACTCCAATGTCCTCCTCCATAACTCAAGTTTGCAATAACCTCTTCTCTTGTCTCTGCTATAAGAACTATATCATCCGCGAAGAGCATACATTTCGGGATTTCCTCTTGAATATGTTCCGTCAAAACATTTAAAATCAAGTTGAACAAATAAGGACTCAGAGATGATCCCTGATGTAGTCCAATCTTTATAGGAAATCCTTTGTTTTACCACTAGGCGTTCTTATACTAGTTTTTACCCCTTCATACATATCTTGTATGGCTTTAATATAAGCAATCCGTACTCCCTTTTTTTCCAACGCTTTCCAAAGCACTTCTCTTGGTATACGGTCATAAGCTTTTTCCAAATCAATAAAAACCATGTGTAGATCTTTATCTTTACAACGATACTTTTCCATTAATCCCCTTAGTAGATAAATTGCCTCTGTAGTTGATCTACCTGGCATAAAACCAAATTGATTCTCAGAAATACTTGTCTCCAATCTCAACCTGTGCTCAATTACTTTCTCCCACAATTTCATTGTGTGGCTCATGAGTTTAATCCCTCTATAGTTAGTACAATTCTGAATATCTCCTTTATTTTTATTATTATTTTGGCCAACGCTATTTTATGTTGGTATAACTTGTTTATATCCATACTATTCTTTGTCGAAAAACATGTTTTTGCAATATCTGGTTCTTTTTATTTTTCATGAATTTTTTCATTACTTCCCTATATATTATTACTAATCCTCATTTAATTTCCGAAGGGATTAGATTATGGGGAAGATAATCGTGTAGTTTGTATCATCCCAGGAGGACCAGCAAGCAACTCTGATCGCTTCAATAAACAAAGTTCCTTACCTAGAGTAAATGAGATAGACATTATATCTGCTGCTTTAAGTGGACAGCTAGATCTGTCTATATTGATCTCACCCTGTGGTAAAATTGTTACTGTTCCCAGTAATATTTGTGTTATTTTATTTTCTCTCTTCTCTGTGATGATTGAACTAAATCCTAAGATTATTTCTTGGTGACTCAGTTGACTGCTTAGAATACTTGCTTCTAAATAATGAATAAACCTCATCAACCTGAATTCCTGTGCATTTAATACTTTGTAATTTGTGAATAAAACCTATAGACGTGATTTTTCTCTTTCTTCTCTTACTAGATTTAGTAAGGCTTTTTGGAATTTTTAAAGTGAGAGGAAAGGGAAAAGAGAAGGCTCTCCCTCCATTGTTTGAAAGTTACAATCTCATCAATGGAATGGAGTGTATTTGAAGGATAATTTTGAATATTGCCCTTAAAGAACAAAACAAAAGTGAGGAAGTTTGGATGATAAAAGGTAAATTTTCTGTTTTTGGCAGCAGATGTCTGGGAAAATTTCTGATCTATTGAAATGAGGAATTGCAAGATACCTCCACACGTGAGATTGCTACCAATAAATGTTAATTGAAAACAAATCTCTAAGAATTATTACAATCAGTGCTAATTATGTTCATATGCCAACACTATTCAATTACATAAATGGTCTGAATTTATTTCTCACTTCACTCTGTCCTCCCCCAAAGGGTTTGATTGTAGTGTTAATGAAGGCAACCCTTTGGAGTCATGAATTAGAAAGACATTTTAATTACTCCAACAACAATAGCTATAACTCTTTGCCAACTCTTAGAGAAATTGTCTGAATCACTGACCTTGGAAAGCTCGCCTTCCCATATGAGCAACCTAAATTCCCATCCCACACAGTATATAGCAACTGATTAATTTTATTTTGGTAAAAAGCATCTGATTAATTTTAGTATTGTCAAAACTTTCAAGTTGAATCTGATCGGCCAAAGTATTCCCATCTTGGCTTTAGCCAATAGTAACACATATATTGGCTTAATGAAATGGCCAACTGTGGCATATCCTCCATTTGCAATGAATAGGAAAGAGTGCTTACAATATGGCGATTGCAAATATTGACATGGTTTAGGGGATACATTGCTTTAATCAATAGCATGGTTTCTGAGCAGACAGTTGAATAGCAAATTTGCAATTTCTTTTATAATATTTCCTCTTCTCATCAATGAAGTTTTTCCTTGGAAAGTAAAAAAATGTAATGAGTTACTGAACAAGCTATATTTGTATTGTGCAGTACTTGTTTCATCTTCATGCTCTACGGATGAGACAATAGTTGCAGATTCTGACACTGAAGTTGAAACGGCCACATCAGCTCGTGCAAGTGAGACATTGTGTAGAGGAGATGATATAAAATGTGAAAAAGGTGAGATACCATTGGATGATGCTCCTGCCAGGTCTAGTAACATGAAATTTGTGAGAACGGAGACATCCTTGGATGGAGTTTCTGCCAGATTGTCGGAAAAAGGTGACATCAAAACTGAACATAGAGAATCAGCTTTGCATGACGCTTCGCAACCTACCAGCTTTAGGGAAGGTGGTTGTGGTATGATAGTGAAGAAAGATGAGGTTGATGATTCCGGAAGTAGACATTCAGACATAATTTACAGCCAAGATTTAATTGTCCGAGATATAGATTTATCTTCTGGAACAAATGCTGCATCAATCAGCAGTCTTCCAAATTTCAAACGCTTTAGAAAGGTTTGGTTTTGAAATCCTTATTCTATGCTGACAAGGAGCTTATATTGTTTTGTTAATGATAATTGCACATTCAAAGTCAAAACCGACAATTTTCTGCAAAAATGATGCAGAAGAATGTTTAGATGAGTTCTTTTTGGGATTGTGACCTATCAATTCCAATAAAAAAAAAAAATCCTCAGTGCATCATGTTAACAAATAATAATGCTGACTTCACAGTTTACTGCTCTAATCTATACCCTCAAACGACATAACTTGTCTGGTTTTATTTGTCATGGTATTGCAGATGCACACACAGTCAGGGAATAGCTTCAGCAATCTTGTTCCCTTCGCTAAATATCCATACAAGTAAGGACAAAAATGGAATCTTAAATTGTGTGTTAGATTCAGCACGATTTGATCTGGCCATCACATTTCATTCTCTTATATATGTGTGTTTGCTTGTTTGTTCTTTCTTCTACCTTTAGGGACTCTGACTGTGAAAATGAGGAGATTAATAAATCTGTAAAGGAAGAGAAAAAAAGAAAGCAAATGGAGGCTATTGCAGAAGACTTGTTTAATAATCAGAAGGCGAGAAAGCGAGGCACAGCTGGCTCACTTCGAGGCATTCTTATTTCATGAAGGCAACCACAAGCCTCTCTTCATACTGTTTAATTTACTGTTGGCATTTTTCAAGATACGGACTAGACTAAATTCGTGTGAATCATGGTATGCTTTTGAGTTTATCAAATAATGTATTAATTAGTGGCTAGACTGGTTTCTGATAGGTAAGTGCCAGAAAGTATATAGAGTAGTTTCATCCTGCAGTGACAGACTCTGATGTCGTGTTATATTTGAGTAATTAATGGTGGTAAGAAAATGAGTAGTTAATTAATTCAGAGAATTGAGGATTGTTTCTAATTGAAGCTTATGTGTCATGGGGTCCTGCAGTTGAAGTTGAACTACACAGACATTGTAAGGACTCCTGATTCGACAGCCTTCAACTTTCCCTGTGCGGCGCTTAGTAATTAGTACGGGTGTGTAAAAGTCTTCTAGTTTTGTCTGACCCAATCTAATTAGAGGTGGTCCTAGTCTTGTTCGCTCTGTATAAACACTGGTATTTTAAGACCAAAAAGATTGAACTATTTCTTTGGATTGGACTGGACAAGAGATTAGGCACCTGGATCACTTAGTTTTGTCCAATTCTATTAATTTATTTATTATAATTATAATTTATTTTTGACAAATGCTTCAAGTGTAATTAATGTTAAGGAGATGATTGTATGAAGATTTGTTGAATTTATTTCTAAATTATTGTTATAATGTAGTGTTGTTGAAGTTTATTGAGTACTGTTTTTATTAAAGTTATAAATTTAAATCATTTGAATTATAATAGAAATATTTTTTTTCTTGTTGGAAATTATTATTATTATTATAAGTATTTTTACTATCTTAATTGAGTTTATTTGATTGAAATGGATTATTACCTCTCATGGAGGAAAAAAGGAAAAAAAAAAAGCTAAGTAAGTATTGGATTAATATGACTAGTTTATCAATCTTATGAATCAAGTTTGGTCTTATTAATTTTTGGGTTATCACTAGACAAGACCGGACTGTGGGTTGTCTAACTCAGTTCTTTTCATGAAAGAGACTGGACTTTGGATAAGATTGAAGTTTAGTGCCATCCTGTCCTATGTGCAACCCTAGTAATTAGTACTTCATTCATTCCTATTTATTAATAACCTTTTAGAGCAATTTGATGGTAAATTTAGGAAGTAATTTCATTTTTTAGATCATCTCAGGAGTTGTTTGGTTGTTAGAAATAATAAGAATGGAATAGGTTAAAGAAATGAGAACAAAAATGAGCTAACTTAAAAATGAACTAACTTACCTTCCCTTTTATAATAAACATGATAAAACCCAATGTCACATAATACAAAGGAAAAATGACAATAAAATCCTTTTAAAGTATATAAATGATAATTTAGTCCCTTGAAATGTTATAATTTTTCTAAAATTTTTAGAGATTTTTTTGTCATTAATGAATTTATATAAATTATCAAATTGTTCTTGTTGAAAATAAATGGTCTACAACTTTTTTTTTTCTCATGTTTGTAACTTTTCTTCTTAAATTTATAACAATGCAATAACAAATTACAACTTTACATGTTAAATTTTTTATTTGTTGTTATATTGTTGCGAATATAAGAAAGAAAGTTGTGAATCATTTATTTTTAACAAGGATAATTTGATAATTTATATAAATTTATTAATGACAGAAAAATTCCTAGAGATTTTAAAAAAATTATGGCATTTTAAAAGATTAAATTGTCATTTATATTTTTTAGAGAGATTTTATTATCATTTTTCCTAATACAAATGTGAAAATCATTTTATTCTCTATAAACCTTAGGATTATAATTCTCAATCTTCTAAATTAAATTATCCTTTTCTTCTAATGAATAAGGTTGACTTGTCTCCACTCTACATTTTGATTATTTAATTTTTATCTTTATTTATTTGATTGATTCCATTCATTACCTTTCGAGCAGCCTAACAATCTTTTAATGATTTAACTATTTTCTTTAATTTCAGTGAAGTAGTAAGAATTACCCTATATTTATTATCAAATCAACATCATGAATTGTGGGATCAAGTTTGTAAGAATATCTATTTCCCCAAGATGGGGGAATTACCCTATAAATTCTTCTCTTTAGTTTTAGTGAAGTAGCTTTGATTGCTATGATGTGTTGGCAAATCTGAAAAAGTAGATGATCTTGTTTATATAAGCAAATTGCTACTGATCCAGTGTTTGTTGCAAACCATGCTGAATCAATGTTGACTTAAAGTCAGATGGCTCGAAACTAGTCTGTTTTGTTTTTTCCCAACCTTCTGTTAATGAAGGAGGTCTTGATTCTAGTGTTCATCCAAGGAAAGTTGGAATTGGTGTTATTTTTCAAAATTTCCAAGGACAACCAATTGGGTGGATTAGCAGCTCACGCAAAGAAGACTCAGCCTTAATGTCTAAAGCAATAGCCATCTCAATTTTTAATTCCTTGATCTATTAAGCTTAATTGGGATAATTAAGTAAGTTGATGTGGTGTGTGGTCGGGGGAAAATAAGAAGTGTTTTTAGTTGGAATTTCAAGTATAATTTAAGTCCAAAGTGAAATTAGGTCACTTGAGGACCAAAAAGTAGAGAAAAACAAGTTAAAAAGCCTCTGTGCTACATGTTGCGACATGTGTATCGTGCGTAGTGATGCACAGGGCCATCAAGCGAGAGTTGTCTTTTCTATACCATATGCCAGTGCATAATGCAAATTCTGCAGATATGAGTCACGAAATGAGACAAAAACAGAAAGGAAAGGAGAGGGAAATGGAAGAGACGCACCAAGCTTTGTTAAGGCACAATCTAGGGGAGGATTGGAGAAGGTTTGAAGCTTTAAATCACCTAAGGTAAGATTCCTAAACCTTTTTTCTTCTTTCCTCTTCCATTTTCTCAAGGATTTGAGTTAGGGTTTGAATGAGGAAGATATTTCAGTCCATATAAGTTATGAGTCCAAACCAATTGACTCAAATGAAATTAATGGGAGTTGTTTAAAGTATTTAAACCTAGTATAAATGATTTTGGTGATTGTTGAAGGGAGAGCTCCATTAATGTTCAAAAATGGACATTAAATTTGTCATTATCATGGTTGATTGAGGTATTAATGGCAATGTGGGTATTCAATGAAGCTATATGATGTTATAGATAGATAATAAACTCAATGGGTAGGTCCAAATGTAAGCAATGCAGGCATTGGGTGAGCTAAAGATAGAGAGTGAGCTAAGAATTGTGTGTGTTTGACTTTGTTGATGAATTCAACTTAGTTGATTATAGTTTGAGCTCTTGAACACTTATTTGGCTTGGAAATTCAAGCTTGAAAGTTAGTAGATTGAGGGGTAAACCTTTAACCTCTCAAAGGTTTGAGGTAATTGGGGGAACCCTATTTTAGGTAGTTATATGTTAGTTATGTGTTTAAAATGTAATTTTTGACTTGTGAATGGGTGCATCATGCAATGAAAACTTCATATTTATCAAATCACTTTGATGCATGTCAAGCATGCTAAAGAGATTTTAAATGAGTTTTAAATTTGCAAAAGTGATAATTGATGAGTTGTATGTTTATGATGTGCTTTAAATGAGCGATTGATAATGGTTTGATAAAGATGAGTAATTGTAATTGAAAAGGCTGTGTTTTATATGATATAATTGGAAATAAGAATATATGCTCACTTGGGTAGCACACGGTCATGAGCCCAATGTGTTGATTGAGTTTGACTAAATGAAAATGTAAAAATAAGTGAGTATGTTTATGGCATGATTAGTTGACGGGAATTCGCTTAAAGATTGGGAGTAGAGAAAAATTCATATGGTATTTAGGCTGCCATCCGGTGCACGAGGGTATAGCTTTGTCCCATAGTTTGTTGAGGGACTATCCCATAGTTTATCAAGGGATTATCCTATAGTCTGTTGAGGGACTAGAACTAGCTTTCTCCACCAGTTCAATGAGGAGAATAGTCTAGAGTATGAGACACCCTAAAGATTTAAGAATAGGGGAAGCTGTGGTTTGAGAGTGAGTCATGTGACCTTTGGCCGAGTCACATCTCACGATTGGTGAGCTTGGATAGTCTAGTCACACGGATAGAGCCTTATTCAATGTTATAGCCCACAGTTTTAATTTAAAAAAATAAAGAGGTTGTAAGGTTGGTTGATTACTACTTATACAAATATATGACGTGTCACACGTGTTGAGTTGTGGCAAGTCGTGTGAATAAGGGGTCATGTCACATATTTGAGAATATAATGACAATGCACCTAGTATATGTGAGATAAAGAAGTTATTAAATGAGAAATGATGAGTTATGATATGTGTGAGTATGTTTTAAATACTTGATTTCATATGCATGTGCTTGTTTTATAATTGATATATAACTGTATAAGGTAGATTTTATCTTGGTTACTGAGTGGCTAAACTCACCCCTTTCATTTAACACTTTTTAGGCTCTAGCTCTGGTGTAGAGAGGGAGAAGGCTCAAGAGGTTAGGAATTAGCATATTCTTATTGTATACCTTTAGTTTAGATTTATCTTGTGTAATAGTATATGATTACCAATTCTAGATTACATGCCATTACACTTATACTATTTTGTTATTGCAAATGTCTGATTTATATTTTGGGCCTTGTGTATTTGTGTATGTTGTGATATATATATGTTAATAGGGCTAAAATATTAGTGTAAGTGTAAAAATGAAGGTTTGAACATGTTTTGATTGATTTAGGTACAATGCAATGGAAAATTGCCTCCCCCTCTGTTTTTGGTAAAAAGGAGTTGAGAAGTGAAATTTTATTCTACAGTTGTTTAAGTGCGTATGACATGTTGTACTAATAGTTCTAGGTTCAATGGATATGGTTCAAGTATTAGGAAAGGCTTTTGACACTTATTGAGGGTTTTGGACACCCTTTTTGTATGAAAGTTGTAAAAAGTAGTTAAAATGTGTTTTGGTGTCCAACTTCTTGGTGTGACTTGTTTTAAAAGTGAAACCTATGCCATTAGCTAGTTCATGTAAAAATATTTCTATAAACACCTAGATCACGTCATTCGGACATCGGACGGAAAATCGGGATGCGTTGGAAGTTTTTTGATTTTTATGTGCAACACGCTGCGGCGCGCATGGTGCCTGAGCCACGGCTCGTGGCACAGAGAGTAACACGCCAAGGTGCAGCATGCATGAGTCGCGGCGCATTGCCCTGTCACACAACGAAAGAATTATTTTTCACTTGTTTTCAATTTTTTTCACTCCTCTAAGGTATCCTATACTTTTATAAATTGTTTTTACTCTTATATAAAAGGCT